CGCATTTAGGGAAAACATCCCTGAATTCAACCGAATCCCTGTACAAAGGATTTGTTTATAAAGACTCCCAAGATTGAGACGTTTATGGCTCAATCCTGGTCTTCTCATTGTAAACACTCTCATCCTTGGAAGAGCTACTGAGAACACGTACATTATCAGTAAACACTTGTGCCAACCGAATACCGGCGACGTACCCGTCCTCTGGGACAAGTACGCAGGTCTGCTTGATCTTGTTACTTCGCGGATCTCGCAAGAATCTTTTAGATTCAAGCGTTGGCAACTTGACCACCTCCGAAACTGACTTTGGAGGTATAACTAGATAAAGTGTATAAGCGCCTGCACTTGATCCGTCATTCACCAAGACATTCACTGTCTCGGTAATTTCTTGGGAAAACCCATCCGCAGGTGGTTGGGAATCCACACCCTCAACATAACTCTCCCGAGAGTTATCACTCTCATGAACGCTGATAATTTCTTCCAATACGTGTAATGACTGTGGGTGCACTACTACAGTCACGTCCTCTTCGATTGAACCTCTTTCAGTCAATCAAGCTTGCTCCATGATCGACTCACTGTTAGTCGATCTCGCTTCAAAGTGTTGTTCATCCTGAAAAGCACTAGTCTCTCTTCTTGGATACACCCTTCTTGGTGTGCATCCGTGTTCCAGTACACTCGATCTCTTCGAGTGGTGAACCTTCGGCGCAGCCTGTGTCTCAACACAGGTGCCGGAAGCTGGTTCCACAGTGTAGCGGCCTTCTACACTGTGATCTTGTGCAGTCATACTAACGACCGTACCACAAGTGAGGCCATCGCATTCACTAGTAGTACATCCAAACGCTTGTGGAAGCTCCAAGACGTTCATCATATGGTCATCTGATGAACAAACGGCATGCATCCTCACGGATAGATGCTGCCTGCTTATCCACGGCTCATAACTTCGGAGCCATGGCAGACCGAGGATGACATCAAATTTGGCATTCAAATCTAGTACGATGAAGTCACCATCGTGATGCTTTACTTTTAACTTGTATTAGATTCCCACTACACGTTTTTCATTGTTACGGATTCGCCTGTAGCAAGGCACGCCGTCACCCTCTTTAAAAGGGAAACTCTCGCTCAACATAGTTGAGTCTACCATCTTCTAGCGACTGCGTCGAATGAAAGCTTTCGACGCCCCACAGTCAACTAGGGCGCAAAGTGACATTCACTTGTCACTTTGATCTTTAAAGTGACGAGGAACACCTCATCACTAGGGGAAGTAATACAAGGTGACTGTGCATTGGGAGCAATCTTCGTCAAGAATCCTGCAAATTCTCCTGGCATTGTTAGATCATTAGTGTGCTCCGCCCCTACTGACCCCGACCGTTTTTTGGCGATCTGACTTGCTGTCGCGGTTCAGCGACATGGTCGGACCCGGACTTGAACCATTCCTCGGCCAACGGCGGTCATCACGTCCTGTCTTTGGACGTGATACGGTGCTTGGGACACTACACGCATAAGCGCAGTGTTCCCGATCTTCTGACAGCAACAACGTCTTGTCGATCGCTTGTGGCTCGAAGAGCAGAGTTCACGCTCTCGATATAACAGAGGTCCATTGGTTCGGGACCTCCTGTTTCCTGTCGTCTATTAGGACGATACTTCGATGAGCTATCCTAAGACTGTCTCAGGCTGAGGTCCTCTTGTTCCGCATACGCTATCGCCTTTCCAGCGTATAGAATTTCTCTTGGAGCATGTAGGCCTCAACCGGTCCATTTACAAGACCGTAGATGAGCACATTGATGAGTGTGTGCTCATCAACAGGGTTTTGTGACTCTACTCGCAAGGTAGCGGAGTGTTGTGCGAAAGCGTGCACGTCAAGCTTACCATGTTTAAGTCCCAGGAGTGCAGTGCATGCTCTGAACTTGGCACTTGGTGGCTCAAGCGTCTCTTTGGCCGGGACTTCTAGATCTTTAACGACTCAAACACGTTTGGGTTGTGAAGCTTGAGCTCTAAGGCCCAAGTCTTTGCTAGTCTTGTCAAATTTTGACAGGGCAGAGGTGACTTGCATCTCGTCACCCTCGATGTGACGGTCCCTGATGGCATCGTCTAACTCGACGGAACATCTCAAAAGGGGATATTCATGGGTTCCCTTGTACCTTGAGATATATATCTTCAAGGTTTCGGGTCGACGCATGTGAGTCGGCCCGCCCATCGACTGATGAGAGCCTTGCTGCTGTAGCAAGGCTATCTTCTGTCTTTCGACGGCAAGTTTCCCTTGTAGGAACTTGTTGATAGCAGCATGTTGCTGGTCTCTGCTTAGAGACTCCAACATGCCACTGATGGTGGGTTCGCTTATGAGTACACTCAAGCGACCGACTACCCCCCACTCTGAGTCACTCAGATGGGAGTATCCCTCACGTGTGACGTGAAAGCTGTCGTCTTCTACGTCCTACATGAACATGTTGGACGGACACGAAGTAGTCGTTGGACGGACTTCAAGTGCTACCAGGTGTAACGGGCACCCTTTGTGTGGGGTGCCTCGAAACTTCACATACACTAGTACGTGCAGAGGAAGCTAATCTACTCAAAGTAGCTGTTTGAGCCAAAGGTAAAAAGAGAACTGTATTTATTAAAGTTAAGCTATCAATATAGCTTCAGTCTTAATGGAACTATGTTAATCTGCATTGTCGTATGACGACAACCTGCTCACCACTCATTGCGCGCGTCTGGCAGCGATCAGTTCTAACCTTGGTTGATATGTCTCTATCAACTAATCTTTGAGCAGCGCATGAACATTATCCTACAAGGGGATAATACTCCTTCAATACAATCGATCTCGGATAATATTAGCAGGGAATTGTCACGCTAGACAATCTTCCTATTGACACTGTTTGGTGTCAATATCGTGTAACGGGCCACCCCGTTACAACGGTCGGCAAGTAGCAGACCGAGCGTGGCCGCTTCTTTCACTTGCTCAGGCGAGTTCTTACGTTCGCAGTTGATGCGAACACATTCGTAGCGTAGTGATTGCACGCATCACGTGGGACCTTGTTGCTGACCGTTGCTCTCGACGTCATCGAGCTCGGCCCACTTAACGCCGCGCTTACATCCTTAAGGTGCCATAGTGCGTGGGCGTGGACTTCGCTTAATGGAGTGGCGTGCAGTATAACATGTAAAACATTCTATTTTTCAATCTATTAAACGTTTTAAAGCGTTTACAATAATCGGGTTTCATGTAAACGTTCCTATAGTGTGCAAATAACACGGTTAGGCGTACCTCTTACGTTTTAAATACGATTTAGCCTGTCCCCTCTCACAGTTCGATAAGCATGATACGTGTCACTCTCAGACCAGGTCAATATTGTGAAGCACGCACGTGATTGGCTTATGATCGATCAAAGATGAATATGATCACATAAGCAAACGCTGGACGCTCATATGCACAGGTCCACCGCGTTGCCCGAGTTTAATGTACTGGGTTAACACAAATACAAATAGCAATGAACTCATTCTTCAGTGTCTGCCGTTGTATAGCATTTTGCAGATAAATCCACTTTTTTATTTACTTTTATCAAGGGGCGAGCTCCAGAGCTTGCTTCCGTATCTAATTGATGCGTACCTCTTGTAAAAAGTCCAGGCTTGACTTCGTTCCCCATCACATCACCAGTGAGCAAAGCCTAATGGTCAAAACTTGGGCTTACATGGGACATTCTGGGACGACTGAACTGTTTGCTGTAGGGTCTGACAAAGGGTTTGGAGGAGACGTTACGCACAAAACGTTATATGGGATCCAAGATTGTCTGGACATCGAGCATAAAAAATTATTTTACACAATTCTGACCCTGCGATTTCGGTACCGTGCCTGGTTTCCTGCTGAATACTACGTAACTAAGTGCACTAACCTGGACGTGCGAGCCGTGCCAGAGCTAGTCTGCTTTCGAGCACAAGTCGTTGAGGTGGATAAGGTCATGATCTACGCTAGGTGGCATGAGCCAGATACAATGCCACGTATCATAGTAATTTGCTCGAAAAGCTCGTGCAAATTTGTTGTGAATGCAACCTTTATCCGTCTGTTGTTGGTTCTGCAGTCGAGAACGACTCTGTCATGTACCATATTTTCGCGTCTCACCAAAACTATGCCGAAACAACGTCATGATCCTCTGAGCAGTTCAACACGCGTCGAGTTCGGAAGACCACACGGATACGAGCTTTGGCCCGTGACCAGCGGAATGAATTGAATGCAGCTGAGAAACCTCCGCGTAGTTAAAAATAGTAGCATTGCACTGTGTGTCGTGATGGGATTCAATTCCCCCCTCAATGGCCACTTTTCACTCCCCTTCACCCTTTTCCATGTAAAAGCCTTGACTGTTTATTTGTGATGCGCCGTCACCACTAAGACACTTGAGACATCCTTTCTTTGCAACAGTTATGTTGCGACGCGTAAGAAGTCAGAGTTGTGTCATCGTAAGTATCGACAGACGCCAAACGAAGCAGGGTCGCTTCGTGTTGGCTTGTAGATCAGGCCACATATCGAGTACTTATCCATGCGCGCAACTATGACCAGAGCGTCGTACCAAAGTGACTGTCTACCCTTCTAGCTACACGTACTTCTAACAAACTGAAGCATCCAAGTAGCACAAGTTCTTTTCATTTGCATGCTGCAATCAACGCGATTACCATGTTGTGTGTCCACCTGTGTCCGTGGATCGTATTCGCGGACACAGATGGATACACAACATGCTGATCAAGTTTCTTCAGCCGCACAAGCTCGCAATTGACTAAAAGCTCCGTGTTGCGATGATCCGTTTTGCCCTAAAGCCACCCCTTCAAGAACGTCAACGCATAGTAACGCATACAACTCGATCGACAATACGCTTCTCCCAAACCCAAGTGCTTCGATGTCGTACTGAAGATAGCCCAAGTTGCAATGGCGACCTGTCTTTCAGTGTGTTGCACGCTTTGCAACTGAGCAAACGCTGCTAGAATCACACATGCTCACTCATGATAAGACCTCGTGTCACTCACAGACCAATTCCAACACTCTTGTGCTGAGATGCACCAGGAAGAAGTCGGCATTTGTGCCCAAGAGATTGCAGGCGGGCATGCGCATCTTCATACTCCGGATTGATCGCCGCAAGCTCCCGAATATCCTTGAGAGCCATAAGGAAGTCACGTTGTTGCTCGTATGCATCTGCTCTTCGAAGTCGAGCAAAAACGTTCTCTGGACAACGATCCAGCACGTATGTGCAATCAGCAATGACGGCTGAAAACTCACCCCGCGTCTGGCTAGCACGGGAACGGTACAAGTAGCAGTGCATGACCACCTCATCATCGTCAGATTGCGAAGCATCTATCGCCTTGGTGTAGAACTTGATAGCGTCCTCATACGAGCGCAGCTGAAACGCTCTATACCCTTTTTCCTTAAACCACACGGGTAAGGACAGCCCTGCTTCCTTCGCCTCCTCCTCTTCGAGCTGAACGATAAAGCGAGAGATGCCCACATGTCGCGCGTTCACTTCCTGACCACGGTAAAGTGTACTCAACGCCTGGTCATGCTGACCGGCTGCATGTAAGGCCAACGCAAGACGGTAGTATCCTTCGACCTGACGGTAATTGAGTCGGATGCACTTGGATGCATCTTCAATTGCCTTAGCATGATCCGTTTGAGCAGCATGGGCAATGCTTCGGTGCAAATACATCCAGTCGTTCTTCGGATCAAGCTCGAGAGCTTCCGTATAGCATTCGATTGCAAGCGCAAAATCCTTCTTTCGAAGTGCATCGTCACCATCCTTCTTCTTAAGTTTTGCAGACTCAGCAGCCGTCATGCGGCGCAACGTGGCGCCATCATTGACTCCTTTCAACTGAGCCTTGTACAGCTGCTTAGTCTCGGTGAGTACGTCAAATATTTTGACGAACTTGGGATCAACCTCCGTCCCCTTCCGCAACGTCTCGACCGCCTCTTTGTACTTTCCCATTGCTCGAAGAGCCAAGCCATGGCGTAAATATCCCGTCACATCGTACGGGTTGTAGCGCATACAGCGATAGGCATCTTCCACTGCCTTTTTGTACATGGATGCTTCCATATACGCCAAACTAACAAGTACATTAGCTCAAAAGATCCAGTCATGCAAACAGTCCATCCTATGTGTGACATACCTTCGGTCACCGTAGTACCCCGCACGCTTGCGATCCAAATTAATCGCTTCAGTGAACTTGTCGATCGCCAAATGAAATTCACCGTCCTCAAGACACTTCAAGCCTTCGTTGCGCTTGAATTTAGCCATCGTAGACTTCACTTCCTGCACAAGTCGTTTGTTGATTACGCTGCTATCCTCCATCACACCGACACCACGGCACTTCCACAATTGTTCCGTTGCCTCCTTGTTTTCGACAATAGTTTCAAGAAGAAACGATGCTGCCAAGTCAACTTGTCGAGGAGATGATCGGTATTTGATAACAGCCAGCAAGATCTTCACAAGTTTCGACTCAACCAAAGTTGTCACAAAGTCAGGATCGAGGCCGGCAATTGATTGTAATAAATCCAAAGCGTGCATCGTGCAAGCCTCAGAATAATCTCTCCACACAAGTTCCATCAAAGTGAGAAAACCCTCACGATCCACAATGATCCGTGCCGTGGACATCTCAAGAGCCTCCTTTATAGCCTCCAGCGTTTCGACGACACGAGCCTTGTCAGGATGCTCCACCCTTAGACTGTCCAGGAGACGCGCTACTGGGTGCAATGACGACGTGGAATCATCCTCGTCAAAACTGCGAGCCGTCTGAAACTCGGCAGGTATGATCATCAGCATTTCTTCATCCATTGAGCTTTCGCCGCTAGTCACATCCTCGGACGTTTCTTCGTCTTCGTTACAACTCAGCAATCCTGGGTAATCTTCATCAGCAACCACAACTTTTACGCCAACAATATCGTTATCCATTTCGTGCTCGGGTTGCTCGTGCGCGAACGGGTAGATGTCGGCATCAGTAGCAGAGGTCATATCAGTAACATCGTCTATGACGGTCGATCCATGATCGCTTTGACTACAATCATTCTTGCGCTTTTCAAATCGTGTTCTGCTCCGTGAGCGAACTACTTGTTGTGAACGAGCGACCTTCGTCCCCCACTCTTCGGGCAAACACCAGACGTTTTCCGCTTCTTTTGCAACTGGTGCCAATGAACCACCTGCTGCAACACCGCTTCTTGCTTTATGTGGAGAGGAAAAGCAACGTTTGCGCGCAAGGATGGAATTTTTCAATGGAGAAACAATCTCATCTATCGCTGATACATCAGGAATCGAGATGAGGTGCTGATCAAGCTTCTTATCCCATCCGATAGCGACCATTTCATCGACATTCTTGACTGGTACGGATGGCAGGCTAAGAAGCATCTCCGCAGAGGGCATCAATGTCCCATCGTCATTCGTTTGACCCCCGTCCGCTTTGGAAAGCAAACACTTCGTTTGATCAGCAACTGTACTGCTAGGGCTATCACAAACTGGTCGATTCGACTTCTCGTGTGCTCCTTGTACCAGGTCAAAAGCGCTGTATCGCGACGCATTTGTTGCTTTGTCGCCCATACCCAGTCGCTTCAGCTCTCGGGAGGCAATATTCAACCGACTCAGCACGCGGACTAGTTTTTGCGATGCTTCTTCTTCCAACTCCCCCATATCTGTAGCACACCCGTTGCAAGAACGGTTCTGTATATTCTGAAGCTCTTCTGAGGCTTCTTCCAGTGACGTAAAAACATGCTCAACTTCGGCAACTGCATCTGCTTCGAGCGCCCCCAAATCATTCGTACTGCCACCGAGGTGCACGAGTTTTCGTGAAACATCGTCCAACGAATTCAACACACGATCCACTTTGGCACTTGCGTTGGCCTCCGATAGTGCCAAATTCATCGAACTGTGACTGCGTGACTGAGATGACACGCGGTCTCCGTATCCAAATCGCTTGAGCTCCTGCGAAGCCTCGGCCAAAGACATGCGCTTCTCCGGATCGGCTGCACACATCTTCTCAATCAGTGTCCATCCCTGAGATGAAATGCACCTTGGTCGAGGAGGAAGCGGACTCTGATTCGCTTTCAGCGTGCGAATCTTTGCAATGTCAAGCCCTGCCCAGGGCACTGTGCGAGTCAAGGCCTCCAAAATGCACATTCCAAAAGCGTACACATCTGTGGCAAATGAAGCGGCCGACGCACTAGGACTGCGTGATGACACTAGTGCCGACCCAGTTTCCGAAAGAGACTGAAGTGACGCTCGATAGGCTGCATGCTCTTGCAGACACTCAGGGGCTTGCCATCGTATTAATTCCTCAGCGTCTGCGTCGAAAACGTCCAATTGAAAGTATTCGGTAAGTCCGGAATCTCGAGCGTCGCATGCCAACGTGTACAATCCAAAGTCAGCAATCACAGCCCGACCTTTCTTATCAACGAGGATATTGTTGCAGCGTAATCCACCATGAACAATGTTGTGTCGCTCATGGAGGTGCAGTAGTCCACGACTGGCTCCGTACAGTAACTGCCAAGTCAGCGTCTCCATTTTTCCACGACTTTCTGAACCTGCACATTCCCTCGCCCGTGTTTCCAGGGCTTCAAGATATGTCGTAAGTCCACCGTAAGTTGTAAAGTCTCTCACAAAGTATGGCGGCGTCACAACGTGGGAAGCTCCCCGTATCGTCACCACGTTTGGGTGTCGCACACGTGTCCATTTCGACACGCCACTGCGTTCGAAGAGCTGCTCCAGGTACTGAAAGTGAACGTCAGGCAGTGCCCAGAGACACTTGACTGCTACCGTGGACGTTGCGCTCGACAGAGCTCGGTCCTTGCTGTACGTGTACCGGTACACCTCTCCACGATGAAGCGTGGAGCCAAAAGAGCCCCTTGCATGCCCGATGGTCTGGTCGGACACTGAAAAGTTCACTTCATATCCTGGCAAGAACCACTTGGGTACGCGAGTACTGAGACGCCAATCACACAAGGTGACGATCCGGCCGTGTGTCATCTTGAGCGTCGCCACCAGTTGCGACGAATGGCCTCGTAGCGGCTCGTGTGGAGCGACTTCTGCCATTAATTCAAGCAGCACGAGCGCTTGTTGGCGCTCCGTCGGGAGTTCCTTGCTCACGAACGTCGACGTGGACAAGAGCGCCACGAGCGTCTCGTGCAGCGCCTGTTCGTCTTGGAGTCGATTGGTTGCGAACTGGGTCTTCCACTCGAGTAGCGCGCTCGTGGCGCTCGTCAAGGAGTTCTTGACCAGGAGCCCGTTCAGGTCCGAATGTACTTTGGCGACTCCGGACAACAGGCGGCGACTGGCCGTGACTTTGGCCACGACGTTCGGGAGCTTCAAATGCTGGTGCAGAACCGCTTTGAACTCGTCCAGGACTGCGATGTAGAGCTGAAAACGGAACGTCGAGGGCAAGGCCCCGAGTTTGGCGACGTGGGCGATCCGGAGGAACGTCTGGTGCAGTCTCGAGTGGGCGTGGAGACAAGCGCGAGGCCGGTCCCGAACCTGCTGGCAGAGCCCGAAGACCGCGTGCAAGAACGTGAGGACTTTGTGGGCGTTCGGGATCGCCACGCCGCGGTCCATGGAAGTGGGTGCAGAGTGTGGAATGCCGGGCTCGAGGGACGTTGAAGTGGCGTCTCGACCGTCGGGGGGCGACATGGCGAGGGTGGAAGCGAGAACGGGAGTGGCGCCGTTTCGAGACCAGGTTTCGAACGCCCGACTGTGGCCGGGCCTGGCTGGACAGATTGATGACATTCGTTCGAAGAGAACGGAGCTGGGGGGGGCAGAGGGGGAGAGAGAGAGAGAGAGAGAGAGTCAGTTGATCATGGGGACGAATGCACAGGACTTGCGCAATGACATTCGAAGGAGTGGACTCGGGATGTCTCAAGGCGCAAAGTCTCTGCCGCGGCGCTATTTCTGTAGCACAGATGGCGAAGTCGCGACTGTTGGCTCCATGTGGACGAGGCTACTTCGAATGCACTTGATTCGAGCGGTTTACTACTGCGTGTGGCTGCTCCACGCCAGCGATGAGATATCGCTGGAAAACACGAGACGTCATGACAGTTGCAGATCGTAACAAGCTTCCCGCCTGTCATGGGGTGACGCACGAAGTTCATTGCACTGTTTATATGCTTGACGTCGTTGAAACGTCGATGGCGGAAGTCAACAATCGAATGCTGGACCGCTTCTGCGCGCATGAATTGCGAACGGCGATTCAAGATCCGACATCCTGTGGTCCGATACGTGGAAATCGAAGGGGGTAAAGGCGATTTACTGACGCAGATACGAATGGCACGGCTCAGGAAAGATCATGTCGCATCAGGATACCCTAAGGTGAAAGGTGCGGTAGAGACAACGTGCAGAGCGCTTTGAGAAACTGAAAGACGTTGCGTATTAACTGAAGGAGGTGTGCAGATGTCACTTTGAGTGCATGTTTGGCGCATAGCGGTGCTCGATTGCGAAAGGCTGCATGCAAAATATCTGCGGTGGACGTCCCTCTCTAGTGCGGAAGGCGGTGTGGTTCCTGCTGAGATAAAACGCCAGAAGAATTAGAAATGCAGCATGCACATTCGATTTGCTCCGCTTTGCAAATCGCATCAAGTTGCTGTGTAACAAACAGTTTGTGCTGCAACACTGCACGCCGTTCGCGATAGAGGTGCTCTGTTGATTGGCATCAAGACTCTTTGTCGTAAACAACTTTCAGTCCGTATGCTAGTACATGCTGAATAACAGACGAGCGGGATCATATCATGTGGTAAATCGTGTAGTCGCAGTGAGATGTTGCGGTGATTGACGCTTCACTTTGGCTAGACAACCACTGTCTACCAGCGCCTAAGGAGCCGGATGCTATAAATTAGAGCAGAGCTACGACGTGAAGTGATCAGTAATTTGGTTCTATCGCCGAATGCATAAAGCTTAGCAACGAATGTAGGCGATGCAGTCAACAATACATACAGCAGCTGTCGAGAGTTGTGTTCACAACGTGATGAAACGCAAGAATATCAGGTGGTGGCTCTGAGACACTACAAGCGTTATTTTAAGGACAGTGGCGATAGAATACGAAACAGTTTTCTGACTGAACAACTCTGGCGACAGCGAATCGAATTATGCCCAAAGCAGGCCATCGACGGAGGAGATATTCGGTATCAAGTCGCTGCAAGAAGCGCTGATAGAGCACACAATCTCCATTTCAATGATATCAGCGTCACAGAAATAAGCTCGAAAAAGTGGCGTTGATCAACTGCACAACGACATAACCCATTATCAGTAATTCCGCTTGCGAGGCAGCGAAAATAAGTTTGTGTTAGGTCCCTCTTGTGACAGTCAAAAGCATAGAATCAAAGAATGTTGAAGACTGCAAAGTCAATTTATTATTCAAACGGGATGCTTGTAAGTGTGTTGCACAATATCATCACCTAGGCAAGATTGCTAAAATCCTAAATATTGCGAACACCGTTTGCAAGTAGCAAACAAGGATGGTGAGTGTAGGGCACAGAATTGCAATCAAGGTGATTCAACTGTGCCCTAATTTAGTAAAGACAGCGTTGTCAAGGATTGAAATGTACACGGATGGCGTCGATACTAGAGACATTACTCAAGCAATCGAACACTTTTGGGCTTCGAATGTATGATCGAATATCCTTCACCCAAGCGGATCTGTAGTTTCTTTGCAGCCGACGCACTTCCTTAACACTGTGTAAGCGTGTCGACATCATAGCTCATCGCTGACACATTAAATCACATGCAGTCGCATTAAAAATCATTGGTCTTCGCTTCAAATAGTTAACTTCTGTTTCAGGCTATGATCCTAAATCATAAAGTAGGTGTGTGTCCACATGCTGCACACGTTGCAACCATTTCTTCATTTAGCAGCGTGCAGCATGGACATGCCCACGGCTGAAAGCGATTAAATTGTAGCCGAATCGGATTCGACGACATCAATAGCATCTCCAGCACATCAAACAAATCTTCGTTTTCGAGCATGTGCCCATTGATGCCCGCGAGGATATCCTCCTTGTAAATCGCCCCACTAGCTTCAGCGGGTAGCTTAGCGCCTGCGCCATTGACTTCAAAACCTGATACGATGAACGTTGGTTTAGCACCGGGTACTGACGACGGAGAATAACTGTCGCCACTTGTACTTTTGTCGAGAAGCAAACCTATTCCGCCATCTGAGGCATTAAGGCAAACATCAAATACTTTCAGCGGACTTTGCGATACCTCTGCTGCTGTTTCATCGCAACTCATGGATACGAGATTGATCGGACCAGTGGGGGCTGTGGTGGCTTGCTCTTCTACGATACATGGTGTCTCATCTTCAAATATCTTGTCACGATTCACGTCATCTTCTTTCCCGGCGGGACGGCGAACGGAGTAGTCGCGAAGGCGAACAGAGCGCTGCATCGATTGGGACATCGCCATGCGCAATGCTGCTCGACCATCAACTGGAGTGGACGCCGGCGCGATGTCCTTATACAGCATCCCGTTAAGCCTCGACAAAGTGTCCTGAGCAGACTTGTGTGCCATATGCAGATGAACGTCTTCCTGTCGCCAGCCATCACTTCTTTGCATTTCATTTTGAACAGGCATTGATTTTGGTGCTTGGATCGGTAGCGAGATCGGGCTTGTCGGCAACTTTCTGGAACCAGCAGGAATCAGTGACGTTAGTGGCTGTTCCTGAGCTATTCGAACGCTTCGCTCCATCTTTGCAAGCAATTCGTCCTCAATGCCACTATCCAAATCCACTTCGTGTGGAGCCCCTTTCCCATTCATACTCACCTTATCAGCTGAGTTCTCTTCCATCTTTCCATTCGTTCCCACATCATCCGACTCATTAGCAGATGCTGCCCACCACGAGTGAATCTCGGCAGATATCGTCTCAAGACGTTCTTGCTGGATTCCATTCCGTTCGTAAAATAGCAACGTTGGCTGGTAACATCCCCGCTCAACACGCAGGCGGACGTCAGCCCACGCCCCTACAAGCTTAACCCGCGTATCATCAAACAAGAACCAGCGCTCGCACTCGACCCCGTCCTCGTCCAGGCTCCGGCTAGCGAAAAAGCCAACATAGTGCCGTCCATAGTAGCACACGAGACCTCGAAACGAGTACGTCGATGACGCCTCCATCGAGTTATCCAGTCGGAAGATACGTCCTAGATCCAGACCTTGCTGAGTTTCTTCGAAACCAGCGGATGTCGCACACTGCGACGACAAAAGTTCCATCCAGTCCTTAATGTCAGTCTTGTGCACCTGATTACTGGACCAGATGATACTAATGGAAAACACCATGGGCAGCGTGAGAATCCACCTGCTCAGTGCTCGTGGTGCGCCACGTTCACACATGTCACAAGTTCCAGCCACATCTTGGGCCCGGGCTTCCTCTCGCAATGCTTCCTCCAGCGTCATCTGCTTTTTCTCCTCACCTTTCGACCCAGCTCTTGCATTATCCAGCAGCTCTTGAGCATAAACTCGATACAGAAAGTCTGTGTTCATCATCGGCTCCGCTGTATGGCCGCAAACGGTGCAAACCTTAAGCTCCATCAGATTCATCTGAAAGAGGCGGTGGGCCACACACTGCGGCTCACAAGTGATCGAGGCCGCGTCTTGTCGAAGAGACTCGGACATGTCCTCCACCTTCTGGAGGCCACCAATCGAGACATGACGGTTCGCCCCTTTATGACGAAGTGCCAGCATCCGGTTAAACGTGTCATAGTGAAGAGCATCCAGAATCGTCTCGAGCGTCTCCGTCGCGTCGTTCATCGCGCCTAGAGCAAAGGTGTCACCTAGAGCCAGACGGACCCTATCCACGTCCAGTACCGACTGCTCGGCAAACTGGTACATGACAAAGATCTGCTCCAATTCGCACAAGAGACAGGGCGTGACGGATTCGACTGACGATCCTAAATTTAGGACTTCTTGTTCTGATTTACACACAGTTAAGGGGTCCCCACGACAGCGATGATGCACTGCGTGGTCACCCATGGCAATGAGCACGCGGAAGCTGCGCACGTGCCACAGGCTCTGGATGATGACGTTCAGGAAGCAGTTGTTCGCGCCCAAGTCGTTGCGCAGACCCTTGCGCGCACTGAGCGGCGGCCGTGACGAGGACATGGTCCGGAGAGGAATGAGACAATGTCCTGGAGTCCAAAGAGGCGATTTTGATGAACTGGATGTGATGGTTCACTGTCCCTTCTATTTATCAGGTGAATTGAATCGATTTGGCCTTTTCTAAATAGCCGTCGTCCAAAAAAAGCTACTTCAGGCGTACGTGGGGCGTATACACGCGTGTGTGTCCGTACGCACGTTGTATACACGTACCTAATGATCATTCAGCGATCTTCCGGATTTCGTCGGTTCGCGATACCACTATGTTGACTGCAAGGAAGCGTCTGTTCCGAATAGCGGGCAAAACGTTGCTCTCCATTCAGCACGACACACACGCACCACGTGGATGCGATGCGGTGCGCCATCGAGACTGTGGTGGATCACTTTATTCCGCACGTCGCTGCAGCTAAGACTTGTGGCGTCAAGCGTGTCGTAGAGAGATACCGAGTCAGTAGCCGTCAAGCCTTATCTAATCATTCATTGGATCATCAATGCGGCTTTCCGCGTACGTCGTATCGACCGTCTAGACTACAGCAAGGCGAGGCCGGTCCGTCAAGATCTCCTACAATAAGGACATGACTGACTCCAGCGATGGTGTGCGACCACATCGACTCGATGGACATGTTAACACCTCTACATCAATCACGGTCGCGGAGATGCCGGCGATCATGATGCCCGTGGTCAGACGACGCTCTTCAATGTCGGGACCTACCCAAACAAACACGATGTACGACGACCTACGCAAGTCACAAAGTACTGTGTCCTGTCGTGTAAATGTGCGGTCGCGATTGAGCTCGCGACCGCTTGATTGGCCAGACAAGAATAAAGGGGGGGGCAAACGGAAGCGATAGGGTTTCGCAATTGGGCGATAAAGACACCTGTAGTACAGCATGAAAAAGCGGGGCGCAACAGCTGCTGGCGAAAGCGCGTTGCTCGTGTGGTCGACGGCATAAAAGACTGCAGCAGACTGGATGTGACAGTCCGGGTTTTCTTATCTGCTCCGATCATTGCAGCATAAGAGTCGGACAGACATCCCGTTGACCTGGCGCTGTACTACGTAAACTGACTTTTCACCTCCAAGCGAGTTCCTATTCGCTAAAACCTCGATAGTGCCATCCCAAATCCTCCTCGATCTAAAAAAACGATCCATTTGCATCTACTCGTGGATTAGGGGTCAGATACAAATCTTATAAACAACGCATTCAGTCGGGACCAGTAGCCTTTTTTCACCACATAAAAAGTCGACGAGACGCGTGGTACACTTACCTGCCGACAGTCGTCACAAGGGGCGGGGGGTAATAGGTGGCTACGCCTGCCATAGGCGACGCAAGGCTCAATAGACAGACAGGCAGACAGGCAGGCAGGCACATCGATCGATAGACACCGCCAACCACACCACAACTGCACTTCCTCCGCGCAGCACAAGCCGCTTATCTTCCACTTTGTACCCACCCCTTTGCGCCCTGATCACCTCAACATGGCCATCGTCCTGCCCTTTGCATCACTCAATTCCAATGTGGCTGTCCAGCCCTTTGCCTCTCACGGCATTAAGAAGCGCCCGTTGACGCTCCGCCGTCACGTGAACAACACGCCCCAAATCCCTCGCGATGACGTCGTCGCCGCTTCCAAGCAGACGCTCGGTCACTCGTCGATTGGCCACTCTGGAAGCAGCTCGAACGGCAAAGTCCCAGTTGACATTAATCCGCACGAGTTGACGCTGCTCAAAGTCGTCGGTCGGGGCACCTTCGCCTGTCAAGTGGCGCTGGCCAAACACGACAAAACCCAGAGCCTGTACGTCGTCAAGACGCTCGAGAAGCGCTCGTTGCGCCAGCGCAAACAAGTGGAGCACACGCTCACGGAGAAGAAGGTGCTCGAGCAGCTGGACGGCCACCCGTTCATTGTCAAGCTTTACTCGGCTTTCCAGACTGCACACGACCTGCACTTCGTGCTCGAGTACTGTCAAGGGGGCGAGCTCTTTTTCCACTTGCAGCAGCAAGACTCGCACCACTTTGACGAAGCCGCGACGCGGTTCTACGCTGCAGAAGTGCTGGCTACTCTGAGTGAGCTGCACGCTCGTGGCATCGTCTACCGCGATCTAAAGCCGGAAAACGTCTTGCTAGATGCTCAAGGACATGTGAAGCTGACAGACTTTGGTTTTGCCAAGCAGGACATGAAGGCTGGACAGCGCACGTACTCTTTCTGTGGCTCGCCCGAGTATTTGTCGCCTGAGATGGTCAAGAAAGATGGTCATGGCATTGAAACAGATATGTGGTCGTTTGGCTGCTTCATTTACGAGCTCCTTACTGGCGCGCCGCCATTCCGATGCGATAACATGCTGCGCCTTTTCAGGTTGATTGAGCAAGGACGGGTTTGGTATCCACCTTTTCTATCGGGCCACGCCATGTCGCTGCTCAAGGGCTTGCTGTGCGTCAATCCTGTCAGTCGTCTCACTGCCACACAGGCCATGGAGCACCCGTTTTTCAAGCAGTCTCTCGATTGGAACGAGCTCTTGCAGCGCCAAGTGCCGCCGCCTATCGTGCCCGTCTGTCGTGGCCGCGAATCCACCGAGAACTTCGACAAAGACTTTACGACTGCAGCCGTGATGTCACTGAAGCTGCAACCGAGTGATCTCGTGAACCGCCTGCGCCGTGATGACTGTTTGGAATTAGTCACTGGAGCTGACGAATTCCAGGACTTTTAGCACTCGGAGTGCAGCTGATAAAGCGTTTCGTTGTAGCCATGACTGACCATTCAGCGGTTTCGCTTCAGTTGTTGCTGATGCTGTGCATACATTAGCTTCGGTAGTGTATGTGAACTTCAGTTGGTATGCCGTCCGATAGTCTGTTGTTTCTAAATGTATCTGCTTATTTAAGTTGGTTTGCCACTTTTGATACCACGTATAGTCCATAAACCCGACGTCATCACACAATAAATGTCGATTATTCCACATCTAAAGCGATGGCGGACAAGCCCCTTATTCCGGACACCGCCTGCGTACCTCACTCGACTTCTACCGAGTCTATCAGCGCATCCACTTCAGTCCCTACTCATGCTAACTGCTTGCAACCGCTTTCGCATGAACTTGATTTACTTAATGATGACGTCCGGCCACTCGTCGGGCTCGAGCTGCCCGTGTATGGCTCTGACATGGTCAAAGTATTGGAGACTGTGAGTGGACTCCAGAGTCTGCAACAAGCCCATGAAACCAAGAACCAGTTCCTTCCAGTGAAGCTGCGGCCTCTGGAGCCGTCGTGCAAGCCGCTGTTTGCAGATCTGACCAAGACGCAGATGGTGCTGTTGAGGGTGAAGCGGTCGCAGGTCCGTCGGAAGCGAAGCGAGGAGGCAGCTGTCGAGCAGACGAAAGATCGTGGATCCGAGAAAACCGCTGCGGATCGTACGAGGATCTCCGTTCAAGTGGTGGGGCTGATCAAGGAAAAGTATGTGTGCGAAGGGATGGCGGATTTCCAGTACTTTACAGCTCGGGAGTTCTACCCGACGTCCAAACCAGACAAAGATGCGCTGACTGTGGTGGTCGATGCGACAGAAGCAGTGGAAACTGCGGTGATGAACAGTGCGGTGGTGGAGAATGGTCCATTGTCGAGACGGTCGTTGCGACAGAGAGAGCTGCAAGACTGTTTGCGACCGTATCTGGCGGTGGAGAACGAGACGCAGCTCGAGCTTATTCCTGAAGTGTTTTCTAAGGTCGATTTGCCGCTGAAGTATGAATTCCGGCAGAAGTCAGGGTACCAGCCGACAGCTGCCGCGAAGAAAGCGTCGACTACCATGACATATCTGAACTTTCATGACGACGTGCCTGCGCCTGTCGAACCAAAGCCTGAGAGGCCCGTAGTGCGTCGGAGATCTGTGGGCGTGGACGATAGTGGTGTGGACGCGCACGTAATGGAAATGCTGGAGGAGAAACTGGAGCAAAAGCCGGTTTGGCTTCGCTCCAAGTTGTTTAATGGACTGGACGCGTGCGAGCGCCGAGCTGCGAGACGATTGCTGCGAAAGCTTTGCTACGTGTTTGTTGATGGACCTTGGAGAGGATCGTGGATCAAGATGGGGTACGATCCTAGGTCGATTGAAGTCTTGGATACTGCGTCGTGTTACCAGGTTGTGGAGCTACGAAACAATCGTGAACTTGTACACTCCAAAGTCACTCATGCTGCTAGAAAACGCGTCAAAAAGTATGTCTGGGACGAGCTTAGGAAATGCGTGCGGAGAAGGTGGGCACGCGAAGGCTCCGCGGATTGTCAAAGTGACGCAAACGTCGGCTCTTGAAAATGCGCAGGCTAGCAAGCGTCGTCGAAAGGAACGTTTTACGCGGGGCGAAACACGGCGCTCGTATCTTGTAGAGCCAACTATACCCGAGAGTGCTTTCGGTGCTGCTCCAATGATGGCTTCTTCGCCCCCCGCTGGTTCCATGCCATCGACTGTAAATTCATGCAATGACTGGGACTCGGAGGACGAGCAGGAGGACAGAGAGTCTGACGCAGATGAAGAGAACACAAACAAAGCAAGTAAAACAAGTGCTTCTGCAAATTCTGCACCCGGAGGCAGCGAGAAGATTTTCGAGATCTTCGGAGTACAGTTGTCCAGTGCAAACGTGCTGTTTCAGCTCGAAGAGATCGATGACGAGGAGGTGCGCGAATGGACTGCTCAATTCGCAAAGCAGCCGAAGCCGTCGTTGCTGGGCGGGTGGTATCCGACGCAGATGTTTCTGCCATTACGTGAGATCATCAGGCTACGCATCGCTGCAATGGTCGGTCGCTCCAAGGTCGAGCTGGACACGAGACGCAAACGCCTGGACGTGCTCAAGAAGCAAGCACTAGCCGAATATGGGGAAAGTGTTCGACTAGCTAGCAAAGAGCAGCAGTCGGGCTCCGCTTCAGTATCGGTGCCAAGTGGCAACAATGTCGAGGCAGCAGCAGTCACAGCAGCTGGAGGTGATGATACTTATGATGATGACGAGCACGCATTTGAGCAGTCTCTTATCGAAGAACGGAATGCGACGTCGGTGAAGGTGGAAAAGCCTTTGGTACGGACAGAAGCAGAAAAGGCTGAAGAGGATGAGGATTTGGACGAGGACTTGGACTTGCAAGAAGATGACGATGACAATGAGACGATTAGCTCAGGTCGTTCTCGTACAACTTATGAAGAAGACGAGACGTTGGAAGACGACGAAGACGAGGAAGACGAGCAGGTGGAAGAAGATGCCACGTTGGACACGCAGCAGCAAAATGGTACCACTGTACGTGCTGACGAGATATCCGAGTCCACCGAGTATTCATTTTAGAAATGCATTTCTAACACCACCTGACAGGGCGTCGAAAAAAGTTGTCGATATGTTGCAATCATTCGCTTGCACGCATCACACCTCGGAACATGCCCCACGGTCCGTCGTTTCTGCTCGGTCTTGTTTCTGTGCACCGCCGTCCTTCTTTTCGTCCAATCAACAAACGGCTTCAGTGCGTCGACAGCTTTTCAACCAATCGCAGTCGTCCATGGACAAAATACCCAATACCGCTCTGGTCAATCTCGTCCATTAACCAATTGGCGAACGTCATGGGCGACTCTCCCAACGGACTGCGCTACGGCCAGAAGCTACGGCTCGCTACACGCTCTGTCTACGTCGACGACTCGATCGCTGCTGCTACTTCCGATCTCGGCATTGGATACTACGAGAAGAACGGACGTCACGGGATCCTCAGCTGCGTCCCACCCCTTGGACCGAATTTCCAGCACCTTTTTGCTGAGGACGAGTTCGTAGTGGTCCACCCGAACGGCCAACGGCATTCGAGTGAAGACCGCGTTTACTATGGAGATCCACTGGTGCTCGTGAACCAGCACGGAATGGTGTGGAACAATAAAACTGGCGGCATTACGGGGTACGTGGGGCCTCGACCCCGCGGTATTTCTGGTGAGATGTTTGTGTGTTTTACACAGGGTTCAGCTGAAGAGGAGATGGAGAAAAGCAGCAGGAAAGACAAGGGGAACAAACTGGATAAATTGATGGCTTCGGTGACGACGTCGGCGTTGTCTATGTCGGGCAGTTTGTCCGTGGTAAAGAATTACAAAACCGAGGCTGGTCCGGTGTGCTTTGGTGACTCGGATGTCGCGATTACTGTCGTTGAATCAAATCGACGCTCACAGGTGTTTAATAGGAGACTCAGCAATTACAAAAAAGCCACGAGTCGTATTGCAGGAGGATACATTTGCTGTGACGGAAGTGGCACTGAATTGAGGTTCTCGATCTTGCCAGCTTATCCCAAGATTAAACAGGTTTCCATGATGGATCGAATCATTACGCCATACAATTATGGACAGAAGATTGCGTTGCCGCTGGGACTGCTGGGTAGCACTGTGCAGAAGGCAAGTGGTCGAAAGACGAGCGCGAAGAGGGCAGTGCAGTCGAGTGGGATGCAGCAGGGGGAGATCCTCTTCCAGTGTTCTAATGGAGCGCAAGCTGTGTTGTCAGGGACACTTTTGCAGCAGAAGGTGCTTACACATACCAAACATCTTGGTACCAATGGGGACGAGATTGAATCGGTCTTTGAGCTGCCCCTGCGAAATGCGCCTGGTGTGCTGGTTGTGCGATTGACGGGCGTTGCACCGCGGACATTTGCTGGAAAGCTGTGTGCAAGAAACGGAAGGCAGCTGTCAGCACTAAGGACCAAGCGTGGTGTTGCAATCTTGTACTACGTGTCCGACTTGCTCCGACTGGTGCCTTTGCCCATTTTTGCGCTTATGTATGCAGCGATTATACGCTTCTTTTGGGGCACCCTCATCATGGTGGAAGGCGGTCTGCGTCATGAACTCGCTATGTTGGTCTTGGTAATGCTTCCAGTCATGTACGCCGCGGTGAAAGTGGATCATCCGTTTTCAGCGCTATTCCATCCCCCTGCCTTTGAGCCAGAAGTTCATGACGCCACCGGCAACGAAATAACTCAGGCTAGCGGTTCATTGAAGCTCATCGTGAAAGAGTACCGCTTTCGACCAACAAGCAGCGTTAGCGCCAACGAAAGCGTTAGCAAAGTGGAATTAGTACGAGCCCCCGATCTTTTGAATCAGACATCGCTTGAACACTCAACGACAACAGCGTTAGAAGCCACAGGATCGATTCCCATGCGATTTATTCTTGCGGAAAAGGGTGATCAGATAAAGGCGTTGGAGCGGTACAATGAAACCACGGAGTGGCGGCGCGAGGAAGGTGTCGATTTCATTTTGGAGGAGCCCTGCCCGTATTTCAGGATCATCAAGGACAGCTACCCACATTTTTACCACAAACGTGGCAAAAACGGCGAGCCAGTGTACTACGAGAAACCGGGCAAGATAAACATGAAGGCTCTCAAGAATGCGGGCCTTACGCTGGACGATTTGATGCACAACTTGCTCATGATCACGGAGTTTTTGTGGCAAGTGCTCGAGCAGGATGACAATTGTAAGGGCATTTCCGTCTTAGACGTTGATGGGATTGGTATCTCGGACTTTGCTGGCGAGGCAGTTGAGTACGTTCGCAAAGCTGCTTCTCTTTCTGGCAGGCACTATCCGGAACGCTGCGCGTACATTTTCGTGATCAATGTGCCGTCCTGGTTTAGCGTGGTTTGGAACTCGGTGAAGGGGATGGTTGATGACGTTACTCGTGAGAAGGTTGTAATTGTGCGTGGTAAGAAGAACATTCTTGAGGCACTGTCGGAACGTATTCCTGTCGAAAATATTCCGGTGGAATATGGTGGAACAAGTCACGGCATGTCTCGGGAGGAAGATCTGCTTTATAGTCTAATGGACTATGTCAACAACAACGAGGGTGCCCCAGCAAATAACCCGATCGCAGAGATTTTGAAAAGGAAGCCCATCAAGCACTAGCCGTGCCACATTAGTCTCAGCTTACATACTGGAATATCTCGTGTTACCGGCGAACACATAGTATCATTTACTTGTTTCTGTAATTTAGAGTCCGCTGATGTGGTAAAGCTAAACGATGTGGTACGGTAACAATCAATAAGTTATGGAACACCTGTACTAGACTGTTGGACTACACATGACAAAATAATATTTGCGCACAACACGGAGGATTCAAGGCAGTGTCCTGCGTAACGACAAAATAAAACGTTCAAAGACAACTGCAACAAGCAGAAGAGGTTGGCATCTTTATCCAAACAGCCGTGCTTATCCGAAGAAGCAGTCCAAGACCTCGTGAACAAACTACTGCAAAGGATGCAACGTCTCATCTGCTCGTTGCCGAGAAGTAGAGATAAATGAAGCAAATCTGCCTCGATATGCAGCAAAACCCAGTGCTATTGACCCATTTATCTTGCTAGATCGGAGAACTTCCCGTCGGTCTGACGCGTTAAGGGTGTGTGGATGACAAATTCAACAGTGACATGTGTAGCAAGCCAAGTCTACGTGAACATGACGAAATCAGGTATCATAAGTGACATGTGTAGCAGGCCAAGTCTACGTGAACATTGGCGATATTGCGCATTCGTCTCTAGAGCATCGTGCAAGAAAATGCCCGCGAGGATTTTTTCCACAGTGAGTATGGGATATAGCAAATGTCGTGTATGATCAGTCACGCACCGAATCGGCAACCTACAACATCGACACCTCCTGGTATCGGCGAATAAAGTTTACCCGTACTGAAGGGGCAGCCACTTACCAAGTATGACTAGCTTTTATTGAAATGGGATTATTGCTTCATCAGCAATTCTTTTACATTTTTACGGAGACAACTAGGACAAAAGGTTAAAGTGCGCCTGCACAAATAGGGAAAAGTGCATTACAGCATGTACGCACAGAGCCAAAAATATCATGTACATCCTATCATGTACATCCTTTGTGTATAATAGGTATGAAAGTACAAAAAGAAGATAAAAAAAGGGAAGGCGATGCTGGAGATCTAAAGACGGCTGGTACGATTAATTGATCATCGTCTGATGCATCTATGAGCATTCCAAACAGTACCTCCCATTCCAGAAACGTTACATCACACTCTGTTGCTAGCTTAGTTTTTGCTTCGCAAGTTCCTGCTCTGCTGACCAGCCAACTGTTTTTGGCTCGGTAACGTTTCGAGGAAGCTTGCACGCTCATGCCACGGACGACTACGCGGACTACTGTGTGCAGTAAATTCAGCACCAACAACTCAATTAGAGCCTTGTACGGGCGTACCTTTACCGCTGGCTGTTTTTGTTGTGAAAATGCACGGTCTCCGAATTCGATAAAGCAATCAGCATGCAACAGTATTGGACTTCTAATATGAGTCGAAGCAATTGTACGAACTTTTAACGAGATAGGACTCGGCCGTTCGTCTTGATGACAGAATTCATTGGAAATGCTGCAAAGGTAGTAGCTTTTAGGCTCTTATTGCTAGAACGTCTCGTACGAGCTGTATAATCGCGCCGCCTTATCGGGGTACAACCGCGTCCAGTGTGTGCAGCACCAGCCGATACGATGCCTGCAATCTCCGAAACAGGATAGATGGCTTGTACAATTGTTCACGTACAATTCCTTCTTACCGCAACCAGTGTAAAACGATCTTTAAGCGATACAAATAAATTGTACAAAAATTTGTATGGCAGACACGAGTGATAATTCCTGTGACTAGTCCATTCTTTTTATAGCTCTATTAAGGTTCTCTAGCTTGTTGTAATTAATTTCATGCTGCCGCTAGTATAGCAGTGACGCATGTGTTCGCTCTAAAGCTTATGTTCGACCGTTGTTGTACGCGATAAATAATCCTTTAACTTCGAGCGCATCGACTTCAATCTTTCCTCTGTAAGCATGAGAGCAGATAAATCTGTCGGACCCGCAGCGAATTACGCCACGTTTTGCTGGCATTGCTAAACTTTGGTATTGTTCTGATACCCGCTCGTTAAAGACAAGTAATTCATCAAGCAAATTATAACCATGGCTCCGGTCGAATCATCGCTGCCATGACGCAGACGACTGTCTCGGTCATCATTCGAGTCGTCGAACTCGGTTCTGTTACTTCCGTTTTCATTGACGTGCACTGAATTCAAGGAGTCTACGTAATGACTATCTGTGACGAGTCAAAAAGGTGGCAGCCTCATTTAGATGTTCGTTTATCTGAAACTTTGATAGCCTATGGATCTGTGTCCTCCTCGGGACGACGCTGAATACTGAACGGTGGCACAGAGACATTTTTCAACAGCTAAAAACCACACTTTTAATTGACGTTTTTTCGATTGAGAAGCGAGGCTTGCAAAGATCGGAACAAAGCGGCCGTACGACAGGTTTGCTTTGCATGCGTGCCTACCACCTGCACTACACGAATCCATTCTAGAGAAACGGCAAGGCTACATTCAGTCCCTCCTATCACAGTGTAGAAAGACATCGATCTCGAGGGAGATTTTGGCTAAAGAGTGGGTATGCAGTTGATCGTAATGCCTCATGTCCTTGGAACTATACATAGTACGAGCATCTCCATCGGGTCACTTCACCTGGTGCTGCATCTCTATTTTGAAGTGGGTTTGAAGTATTTGCGTTCTCACCGTACCACTTTGTAGCATCTCGATTTTCGAGAACACTCCATATTTTTGGCCCTCACTCCAAATTTGGAGTGACTCCAAACCTGTCTTCAAAATTTGCACATACTGAATTGCCACCAAAACTACACCTTCTCCTCGCATGCACTTTCCCTATTAAACTCTGTACGCCTGAACCCTTGACAATTATAAGTATTTTCTAAAAACTTATTACACTCGCCTCTCTTTAAGAGACGAGTTTGTGCCCAATGATTACAGCGTGTGATATAAGAAGTCTTTTATCTGGAATATCAAAGAAATTGGTTGTATGATCTTAAAACGACTGAGCAATTAAATGTCGGGGCATTCAAGTAACGCTACGGAAGATGTCCCTATGTGTTGATATGTAACGTTTGTTTACGATGTAAAGTATCTTATGCCAAGCTGTATCACTCTATCGTGCCAGTTTTTGCGAACGACTGATGACATTCTACCCAGATCTGACTGAACGATACGCGTGTATCTATATGAGCGTACGAAGTACGAACGCAAAAGCAGGCAGCAATTAGGTGCTTCTTTTGCACTAACAAGTTCTTGATCTACGTCACTTTTAACTTCCGCGGGCTCCGCTTTAAAAGAGCATCTTGTTTGTTGCGAATCTTCGTGTGGTCCAGGATCTCAACATGGTTTTTCTACACACTAACGCTTACTCCTAATTTTGATCAGATCAGCCAGATCGCGGCAGTTTTGCTGAAAGTCGACGCTAGACTTGTAATAATCGTTTTGTGCACGCAGCAACATGTGGTGCTTCGATGGTATCACTCTGGATCCGGCACCTTTGAATGATCAAACAATCAAAACTGTTCCATCTCCCAGCTACAAACTCAATGGCTTCTAGGACTATAAGTATGCGTCCCACATTTGCTTCAATCGGATTCATTGCTATCGCACATGAAGTTACTTGTAGCAAGCGTTTAACGATCGGATGATTTTTATGACTATAAAAAAATAGGTGTGCAAACAAATATCATGACATTATTGCGTAACTGTAAACTGAACGGCTGGATGGTGGAAGTCATGTTAGGCTGAAATAGACCACAGTCTATTATGACATGTCTTACGCATTTCCCTTAGGGCACATCCGAGGCCCTATGATGTTGCTTGTCGGCTAAAGACCTTGGCAAATCTTTGACAAGAACAGCTGCCACATCACATGTCACGTGCTTCAAGCAGCAGAAGTATGGGCAATGAGTCATGTAAAGAGGGTTTCCACTCAAATGAGCGAGTGTTTTTCGCGTCACATGTCTTACTCGCTACAAAAGGTAACGACATGTAGTTTTCCAAATAGTTTGAAATGCTCGGCGACGATGGGACTCTTATACAGAGGGTGTCTCTTACAAAGAGTCTCTTATAGAGAGGGGTGAGTGTACAATGCATTTTCTGCGAGCGGCAAGCGTGGCAAGAATTAATACAACGTTGTCAGTTTTGAAGTGGTGCACACCGGTGCGGAACTTATGGGATGAGTGCACTCAAAGTAGCACTCCCATTGATAATGATAAAGATAAAAAAGCAAGCTCTGGAGCTCGCCCTTGAACATGAGTAATCCAGTTCGAAGAACTGAATCAAGATGCAAAACACTATGCAACAGCAGTAGTCACTGAAGAATGAGCACGATGCTGTACATGTCGGTATCAAGCCAGTACAGTAAACTTGGGCAGCGCGATCGGCCTTTGCTTAAAAGTGTCCAGCATTTGCTAATGTGGTCATAATCTCCTTCGATCGATGTTAAGCTGATCACAAGCGCGCACCATAATCGTGACCTTGCCAGAGAGCGACTTCCATATGTGCCTATGTCGTTGAACAGGCTAGATCGCACCTAATACGTGTATGGGACACCTACCGGCTTTTTTTACAGATACACAGATAAGTACGATTTAAAAGCTCGGCATTCAACCTAGCGCACAAACACTGATAGATTCACCCTTTGGACTCGCAAATAAGTGGACCGGTGGAGATGCTCTAAGTCATCACGAACCTCTACCACTTTATTTGCACTTTACACATCTAGGCGCACACGAGCGGTGTAAGGGTCCTAAATGAAAGCACACAAGCATTACTTGCTTGCAATCTCAACTATTTCGTTGCGTGATCTATTTTTCCCAGATGGATCAACATTCGCGAGAATGCGAAACAAATTGCATTCTTGGACTTCGCCACGTAGTAAACGTACGGATTGCTGAGCAGATGATCCACTCAAGTCGGAAAGTCAAATACGAAAGCAGCCATGCACTGTCTCGTCCGGACGGTCCAACACCAGCACGTTCATGAGATCGTTAAAGAAGTGCGGGAAGTACTTGCAAGCTCGAGTGCAGTCCGGCTGGAAGTTTGTTTCCAAAATGACCGGACGCAAACGCTCATCCCCAGTTCCCTCGTCGGCTTCCCACGATAGCATCACGTCTACACCATAGAGAGCACGTGACTTTGTGCAACGACCCAGGCCTAGCGGTGGCGGGTGTGCTGTCGCAATTTCAAACAGCTTCTTGATCGATGAGCAAATGTCATTGTATACCATCGACCAGTCTTCGCTCGGGTATTCCTGCTCAAATCGGTCGACAAACTCGGCGTTGTCCATAATCCGGACGTCAAAATCCGAGTAGTTCATGACAGTGAAGTGTTTTTCAAAGTCCTGGAAATTGTCCATACTGAACTCTTTGTTCGCAATACGAAGCCAGTAGACGCCACTCAGGTAGATGTCCATAGGATCCGTTGACTTAACCATCACGAGAAAACGAAAGTCGAACTTCCGTCCGTCGATCAGAAGCGGCCGGTGAATGTACTTGCACGCAATTTTGGGTCCAGTCTCGGCGAGACGCGCGAGATGCGGAGCGTTCTGTGCAATACACGTGTCTATAGAGCGAGCCATGTTCCAAGGTTTACAGATCCAGTGGTTGGCATCATCCCCGTCTTCGCCGTCTTCATGAGCAATCACGTCGCGGCAGATAAACTGCGCAACAAGCTCAGGGAACTCAGTGGTCATATTGTACGTCTCTGCGAGCCAGTCTGGCTGCTCGCCACCGTTGTGTCTAAGCATAAACAAAGCAGCGTCAACGTATGCTACTTCCATTACCGAGCTATTTTACGTACAGCTTGCACATTTCGTAGAGCAGATCTTTGCACGTGAGAATTTTCTCGTTCGGAAACTGGTTTATTATCTGCACGTGTTCATCTGCAATATACTTGTCAAAGTTCTTGAGGTGGCGGGTGGACCATATGATTTGCGCGTCTTCCTCATCATCCACAATCGTAAAACACGGATGAGTCAAGTTCTTACGCACTAACGCTAGGTCTGTGGAATCAACAACGTAAGTGGAGTAAGCAAACATCTCTGTAACTTCACCGAAATGATACATAGCACTTTACCAGAATACACGCGAAGCGGCTCCGTGCCTGCTACTATGGAAGAGAGCGGGGGCAACGAAACAGCCGTCGTCGTGTCAGAATATATCTCCGAGTCACAGCTCGCGGTGGCGTGGAACCTCGAGCGAGCACTTTCAAGCGAGTATCCCTGTTTACGCTCACGGACAATCTCTCGGAGCTCGTCGACATACCGACATCTTTCAGCCTTACCAGACTCATAGAATAGCGCAGCTAGTAGCGCCGTGTGAGTCGCTTCATCAGCTGCGTACTCCAGGAAATAGTCTCGCGACAAAAAGTCTCCTCCTTCAATCGTCTGCACGGTCCACACAAGCGTGAACGCACACTTCGACGCACCGTAGTAGAATGGTGCCATGCGCACATTGGGCTCGTCTTTGTGCTCGATAGCAGATCCGACCTCGTCCATCACGTACCAAATCGTCGACGCCTGCTCAGGCTTCACGTTGCCGAGACGGTAGGTACTGGCATAGCGCCACACACGATCTGCAACTGCAGCCACACGTCGCTGCTTGGACATCTCTTCTTCCTGCTGTTTGTCGTCTACTGACAGATGCATGAGGCTTTCCATTCTCTCCAGAAGGGACGGGACGGTCTCCAGCTGCTCGTGCACTTTGTCTGCTGTAAACGTCCAGGCATGATCGACAAGGAACAGCGCCTCGTCTGCGTCCGGCTGCATGGGGGACAGGTCTACGTCATCACGTACAGCCACGTGCAGCTCTCCGTCTTCATCTCGACCCAAGAAGAAGTAGCGGCCAGCGTCAAAGACTTCGTGTCTGGAAGAAGAAGCACAAACAAAGCAAGAAGAGATGCGGTGCCGATGCATTAGCCACGAAATGGTGCAGTCCGTAGCAAGAGAGAGCGACGACGTACTTGAGTTTGTAATACGCGATGGGCCACAGTCGTTGTGGGACTTGAGCTGCGACGAATTGCGCCTCATGTTGCAGCAGAAAGCTCTTTATCTCCTGCTCCATTGCTGGTCAAAGTGAAATGGCTACATCCTCTCTCGGCCAGTGGATGGATGGTGATGGATACACGTTCATTGGTCTTACTAGGTTCGTTGCCGTACTTATTGTCAGAGTGATGGTCACCTGACAAATTGTCGTCCTAGTCAGTGTGTCGACCATGGACAGTACGCGACGCACTCGAGCGCACGAAGAGTTCAGCCACGGAAGCCACGCGCTAGACTTTAGCTCGGCCTTTCGTCGGACGAAGCGCGCTCGATCGAACGAATGCATTGGCGAAGAGGAGAAGGAGAACAGCGCCTTCGTGCCCGATCGCTCGGATTCTCCCCCGGAGAATATTCACAGCTTATATCCCCCATCAAGGAATATACCCAGCTTATATCCTTTATCAGAGAATACCACCAGCTCAGATTTTGTACCGAAGGATACTGGTAATTCTACAACCGGATCGATGGCTGCGGTATCGTGTGCAAGTCCGTGGCGGTTACCGGGTGATCAGTCTTTCGACGATAGTCAGCAGTATTTGAACGACCAGCTTCAACATGTCGTCGCCCTGTCGTCTGTGCTGTTATCAGAATCAGAGACCAGCAAAACGAAGTATTCGGTCCAAGAGAGAGCAGAGCAAGATGATGTGGATCGAGTGTGCACTTTGGACTTGGCCAAAGTATGGGGACTACTGGCAGTCAAATCAGAGACTCAGACGCAGCTGCAAAAAACTGCTGAGCGTAGGTTACGAGATGTTCTGGATCTCGTCAGCTTTCTACTACATGTGCGAGAGCGAGAGCTGGTGCATCAGAACCAACTGAGTGAGCGCTTATCTCGAGCTGAGAAGCAGCTGGAGCGGAAGAGTCACATCATACAGACATTGACGTTTGATTTCGAGACTTTCAAGCAGAATAGTGCTCAAAAAGAGAATGTGTTGAAAGCCAAGGAGCAGGTGCTATTGACGGAAAGGAAGACGCTGCAGATGGAAAAGAAGTCGGCAGAAGTGAGCTGTGCAAGGTATGCGCAGCTTCTACGTGAGAGTGGTCCTTTTTATGGTTTACAATCTGACGACGCTTGCTATTGTGCAGGTTGCAGGGTGTCGAGACAGCGTACAAAGCGCAATTGCGAAAAAAAGACGTCGACTATGCACGACTGAAGAAAAGTTTGCAGGATGCAGTTGCGCGTGCTGCAAAGGAGAAGCGAGTGCGTTGACGTTTGGAATGCAAGCTAAAGTGTATGATGTCATGGCTGATTGCTACGATTCGGGCTATTTGTGTAGGGTATGGCTATCGCCAAGCCGTTGAATGGTGTGCAGGAGAGAAAGCGAGTATCAATGACCAAGCAATCGAAGGAAAGCAAGCTGACACAGCAGATCATGGAAAATCTTGAACGAAAAAAAGCGGAGCTACTGCTTGATAATGAAGCGCTTGCCAAAAGTTTCGACACGCTACAAAATCATCTGCGAACGCTGACTTCACAATACAAAAAAGCAGTTCAGCTCTTTCTTGCTCAGTATGTTGGACGGTTCTTACATTGCTGTTGAAAGACGCTTTTTGACGATATACTTCTTTGCGCGTACTGCTAATTGTACAGGAGAAGCCTTGGAGGAAACAATGAGGAATTTGAAAAGCTGGCTGGAGCTCCTATTGACGACTTTACCCCGACGCCTTTTAATATGGCCACAAAGAGGGGTATTCCCGAATACATCTCGTTGTCAATGGAGGCGTTGGACAAAAAGTTGAAGCAATTTGAAACTGCCATTCGTAATGAATTACCATTGGCAGAGGCTCGCAGCGACAAAGAGGTAATTAGATGCTTGCGTCAGAAGCTGGATGATGCACATAGCATAATCAACGAGCAGGACCAGCTGGTGCAAGCGTCGCTAATCACACCTGTAGTGGACATGGGACTCGGTCGTGAAACGAGTCAGCAACGCATGGGAGGAAAAGCAGGTGCAGCTTGCGTCACGGGTTTCAGAAGTTCACCTGATGCAAATGCTGAGGAAGACCTTGCACGTGAGAGGAGTGATCTAGCAGTGCTCCGACAGAATTTGCAAATGGAGCGAAAGCTTTTGCAAGAACAGGCTATCCGACTCGATAAGGACCGCTTGGAGTTTGAGGTACGCAGTACATGGTACATGCTAGTTCTGTCTTGCGTGCTTACGGACTCTTGTGTAGATTAATAGACGGGACCAAGTGCTTGGGTCGTATATGCGTGACAAACGAGCACTGCCATTCGCTGTAGGCAATACTAATTGCTCGACGCCGAAGCGACAATGTCGAGCGAAGCTATCAGGCGAGGACGACGTGGATCTACCGTTCGATATCCCAGTTTCTGGTACGCATTCCATTCTTGGTCGTGGCCGGTGGGTTAGCTAAGGTAGCTTTATCCTTTGTTTTTTTCTCTGTAGCCACGCCTGGAACAGCAGCCCTTCTCAAGAAGATCGGGATCAATGTGCCGACTGAAGAGTGAGTGACCTTCGTGCGAAAGCATTGGACTGGAAATCTAATATTTTGAGCAAGACACAGTCGAAGCAACTTTAGGTGGGCCTCATGCATCGATGTCGGCACCCAGTTTGTACTCTGTGAACTGTTAGCGCGTCCGTCGTATATGTCATATGTAGAGGATACGAGCTGGGGCCGGTCATAGCGCCATGGCTCAAGTTGAAAAGAGTTCGACACACGTTGGCCTGGATTCGTTGCATGCACGGTATCGAAAGCGATTTTATTTAATTGATATGCTACAGCTATGACTTCAATATGATGAAATATATTTTTGAAAACTTTCAAAACGTATCGAGGTTTTAAGAGTCCAGATCTACAATGATGTAAAAACAATCAAACACATCACAATTGTATTTCTTGGACAAGGCATGTCGAGCACTCATAAGATTACACATCATAATGTAAACAATATTTTTTTTTCTGATCTACACAACGTTACCGAAGATGTTTGATAGATGCGGTTCACACTCATTCCGTCGATCATCTCCTTTGATTGCATCGTACATCTAATTGTAAGTAGATGGCTAACGATGCATCATCAAGAGTGAGACAGTTGACCACCGCCATTCAGAAGCGTTTGCAGCATCGAATGCCTCAGCTTCATGATACTGAATAAGTCTTTGATTTAGCAGACAGGTTGGCATCGGCGTATGGCAATACTCCTGGACGTACTTCTATCCGGTCCCTTACGAATAGTGACAATGCAAAGCTTTTGAGTCATTTTATTTCGGCAGGAACACTCCTGCCACAGATCCAGGTAAGCTTTGAGGCGAGCGAGAACCCATAAAGCAAAACCTTTGCAGTTTTGTCGGTATCAGTATTGCCCATGAACAGGCACTGGTTCATCCAAACAAGTATGTACTCTTCATTAGTGCATCAAGTTTTGCTAGAATTTGTTGTGTATTTCACAGCTCGTGGTCTCATTGTGCCCATGATGCGTCATTTCGGGCAGACCACTATACACCTTCGTTATGTATCGGCTAGTCAGGTTCATCTTCTACTATCGTTTGTGACCGCATTTAGCTGGACGTAAACGACTTGTATCGAGCAAAATACATCAGTAGGTAGCAACGACTATTGGTATCATAGAATTACGACGACCAGGTTTCGCTTTTTTGTTTGATACCAATGTTAATTCCAGAACGCTGTATTTTTGTCAATTGGCGATCGTGCCGAAGACACAAAAGTGAAGCCCTATTGAAAAGGTCTGCTTGCTTCGTAATGAGTTTTCAATCTTGATAGAGAGTTGACGTAGGGCGATGACACTACCAGACTATACTCTTAATGATCAAATGTCGAGTGTCGGTAGCAATGCAAAAGAGATCTAATTCAAGTGATAGACCAAACAGGGGCTGAACATACGTTGGAAGCACCGATTGTCAGGAGAATGAATCAGCACATAATCGTCAAATGCACGTTGGAAAATCTGCTCTGGTACTGTCAAACATGATCAGCAAAAATCGTACCGTTTTCGATTGTGTGCACATAGCGGCTTCAATAGTGGTTCATATCCTGAATTATCATTTTGTTCAATATTGCAATGCGTACGTCATGTACTCCTAGAATCCTCACAATACTGCGTCGATCCTGGCTCCACCAATAAGTTAGAATCTGGTTTCTTGATAGGACTTCGTGTGATGCATTTACGATGTAATTGTAAAGGTGGCTAAAGGAAGTTGCTAACATGCAAGCACATCAATGAGTACAACCACCTTGATAATACAGCGACCTTGTTTGTGCATCTGGTAGCCACAAGACATACGCACTTGTTTTACTAATTTGTCTCCACCTACCTACCTGTCTTCACCAGCAATATCACTCATATATGAAACGAAGAAAGTGTATGTGTCAAGTATCGCACAAGTGAAATACACCGTGTGCGATCCTACTACTTTTTCAACTGGTGTAGTGACGTGGATCACCAAGCTGAAGATTTAGTCACAGTACTATGGGTATCGCGAAAACTCTCCGTTGCTTACCCGCGGGGATACACAGGTCTACGCGTCAGTATTTTACAAATTCATCCACAAATAGAAAACCACACTCGTTTGCTCGTTCTAGGTTGTAGTGTTCGGCTTTTTATGATAATAGCTCGCAAAGTCCTTCACCTATAAGTGTAATCTCGATTTACCTGAATGGTGCACTGTCTCAGTGAATGACTCAATGTATGTGAGGTGGCGCGAAGGGTAGCTCTGATCCGTTGTATGTCGTTGAGCGCTCGTTTCCAGAATACTGCGGACATTTCTAGAGCGATTGTTGAGATGTCATGTTTGATTACTCTTTTTTGCTATCGAGCAAGTACGATCGGCACGACCCTCGAACAGTCTGCTATCTTTTTCGATTCTTGCACGCTACAATATCGATTGCCACATTATACGCAGCAGGTTTGGCGCCCGAGATAGTTTGTGCTCATTTTTACGCAGCGGCATTTGCATTCAGAGAGATTGTAGCAATCTCCCGGTCGAAAGAAGGTCTTAAAATGCTTCTGGTCGTATTGGGTCGTTTGGAATGGCTTCTGCTGTTGTAAGGAACACCTCAACGCCTCGAGCTCCAACGAATGGCCACGATGGCTGTCGGGCAGATCGCTGGAAGTCTGGCTTGGGAAGTGAATGGCATTGCTAAATTATCTGTGTGGCTCACAAGTTGTTCGGTAGACAAATGACTTGCATGCATCAAAGCGTGCGTACCCTCTTCTTGTAAGAGAAATGACATACAACACTGTGTCGCGTTGCAGCTGGGAGGATGAGCATGTTTTTACACACCATATGAGACGCAGAGCTAATCCTGCTGAGTGGACGTGCTGCAGCAAGCGAGTGGATTTGGACTTGAAGTTGTCACTGGCCTTGTAATGATAACAGCCATTCCACACACTATTGTCATCACGAGTGTGAGCTGAGAATCAAAAGGGAGGCAAGCGTACGAAATCTAGGGGCGACGCAACGCGACTCGAACTTGAAGCATACTTTGACAGACTCGTATGGACAGAGGCTGACGTACTGATTGAACCTCCGATGATCGGAGAATGTCTGATACACCCAAACTTGCAAGAGGAACCAGCGTTGATCAACGCTGGTTCCTCTTGTGAGTCCGGTAATTGTTTAGGGCTTGTGACCTCAGGTAGGGGCTCTCGGGTTTTCTAACTATCTCGATGCTTCGTAACAGCAGACAGCTCTTGTATTTTGTGCCGGCATTCGGTGCTCCTTCTTTACTGCAGCTCGGAGTTGCCGCATACCTTTTCCTCTGAGCTCTTGACACAACCTTCGAGGGAGACGTCTGTACGTGGGAACGCTACTTGATTTCGTTGTGCCCTAAAACGGCTGATGCAAACGCTGCTGAGTACATGACACTCTCACCTCGACTAAATGGTCTACGAGTAGATGTTCCTGTCTTCGCTCTTTCATCATGAAGCTCATACTTTCCTAAGCGATAGCATCCAAACACTGTCTGACACGTGGAGGTACGTACCGGAGACATGAGGTAGAGCAGTACGAGCCAACGCTGTACGATTACTCACAAGCGTAGAAAGCCAACTGTCGCAGTGACATCGGGCGCCTTGCACAAACGTTGCCAGTGTTTGGCTTGAGAAAGGACGTAATAGACAAAGACCCGACGACGTGTATTCGTCACTTGGAGAATGGGATGCGACAAGCGGTCGCAGCCTTCGAGTGACCTTAGCAACGACACAGCAATGACGAAACGAATGCGGTACCAGCTTGCATGCGTCAATGGTCCCGACTGCAACCTCATGAATAGATCCCATATTAGCTGCTGTGGTAGCACGTGTGCGATAGGCGCATGATCACCAACTTCGTACGAAGCAGTTGATATTTCAGCATGAAACTCGATTGCATTTCAGCCGAAACAGCAGAGGCAGGCCGACTTCTATGACGTTCGGACCTCAACCGAAAAACTTGTCGCGGCTGAACCCCCTCGTGATCTTCCCACATTGAGTCATCGAAGTCGTCCAACAGCAGAGAACGCCGCGGTTGTGTCTATAACCCCTCGGCATTTTTGCCATGCGCGTCTTGTCCTTGAATGTCGTTGCGAACGACGACGCTCGTCGATTTTCGGTGGAGTTGTGACTTGTCTGCTCGATGGCCCACTTCTTCTCAGTCGTGTCCTCGTCCATCGTTGAGCTCTTCAGCGTGTAAATCACACGGTCAGAGCTTCTTCTACCCATCGTCGAGTGTCGTAAACTGTAAACCAAACCTTGGGACCCACTTGCACGCTACCGATACAACAATCATCCTAGCGTCCCAAGAGCTGCCGACATCCCTTCCAATAGCCAGTAAAGTGTCGATTGGAGCTTCGTAAAGGCGCAGGTCACGTCAATCCTCTGCGGCGCTTCACCTTGCACACGAGCATTCAGTCGTGCTGACTAGATCCACGTAGCTCGCAAGCTCCGAATCGGTGGTCGTTTGCCTCTAGAGGAAGTGAACCAGCGCCTCGCTGAAAGTCTCGCCGTGGCAGTCCACACCACAGCGACAAGGACGAGGCACTTTACCGTCTGGCCGAGGTCCTTCATCACGTCATTTATCGTCCGTCTTCTCCCGCTGCTTCAAAGCCCGTGATTAGGTCCGTAAAAGGGCATGACGTTCTGTGACGGAAGAGAAGCCGACGATGTCTCTCGTCGCGCCAGCAGCTGGCAGGTTGACGGCTGGACAGTGTCTGCTGCCGACAAGCGAGAGCCTTGGGGTCTATTCGGCAATCAACTGGACGAAGACGAAGCGGCGGACGAGGCAGAGATGAGGGACTTGTTTGCACAGCAGCTTACGGACGTGCCTCTGGACTTAATGAATCGACTCTCGTGGGATGTCTCGAGTCAGGCTTCGAGTGAAGGAGACGAAGGAACGTGCGAGTTCGTGCCGCCATTGCATCGTCTGCCACTTCCAGTCGACACGACACTCGAAGTCGATCAGCTGCAGTGGGGTCTCGTCTCGCCGTGCTCGGACACGTCGTCGCCTCGATCTCCTGTCTTGACATCGTCTTTGGTTCGCCAGCTAATGGGTTCCGAGCCTGAGCTCGAAGTTATGGACGAGCTGCTGGAAGTGGAGGATCCTCTCAATGTTGAGGCGGAGGACGAGGTGACGGCGACATGTGACTCGGAGATGTGCTGGGTACCTGAAGTCGGCAGCGTCTTGTCATCACCTGCAATCACTCAAGTGCTGGTGAACCCGTTCGAGGATAGTCCACCTACTGATCCGGCAGAGACTCATAACCAGTCAATCAACGAAGTCAGCGGCGATTGTGACGAAGCCAAGAAACCGCGTCGCCCGAGCGTCTTACCTCGAGTTTCCATCGCTGCGCACTGGAGACGACCCACAGCCCGAACGTGCTCAGGAGCGGGATTGGCGCCGATGTCTGTTGCTACACTTAAGGCGCGTGCACGCTCAGTGTCACGTGCTCGGAACCAAACTGTCGTCGCTAACGACAAAGACGACGACGGCGACTTTTCCAGCGATGATGAAGGGTATGCACCAGAGTCGAGCCGCTGCAGCGCGGACAATGAGATGGAGTCTCGTCACGCGGGGCAGTGGCGACGAGCAAGTGTGAGCTTTGCGAGTCGTCGGCTAAGCGTGAGCGTTAGTATGAAACCAGCTCAAGTGACTAAACACCTGCAGGAAGCGATGGACAAGTTGAATGGTCAGTTGCACTTGCTACGATCAGGTTCGCGTGCTTCGACAGTCATGAGTGAGGAGAGCTATCTCGAGAGTCCGGCTTATCAAGAGGTGACGGCCTCCCCGACTCGTGCATCCAGTATCCGCTTGGACGATGATGCAACGCCAATGCGTCTTGCAAGCGCAGGCACCGCTGAGAGCGACAAACAACATTCGACGCGTCAGCAGAAACTGCGTGCAGGCGTGTTCAAGGCTGCTGGGCTTCTGAATGTTGTGTCAGCTGAAGCCGCACGGAAGCTCAAGTCGCGTGGCTTCCGTGCTAGGCAGAAGGCCGCGAGTGAGACAGAGGAAGAAGATTCAGGGTTTGCGTCACCGTATTCCGGTACGCTGGACATTTGAGAAGCCTAGACATGGCAGGTATAAGCGTGAATGATACGTGGATGTTGTTTATGTAAAGTACTCACTTCCCTTTGGCGCGTTGCATGCGCGCGGACGGCTATTCATCTTTGTCGTTCTCTTCTACCTCTTCTTCGTCTGTGTCCTCGCTCTGGACAACCATGATTTCGATCTCGTTCTCCAGGTCACAGCCAGCGTAGCCATCGCAGATCACGTAGAGCTGGAAGGTGTGGGCACCAATTTCGTCCGGCGCAGTGAATTGCAGAGCTACGTTTGCCCGTGCACTTGCGAAAGGTACGCGCTTGATGCTCAATAACGTGTTCTTCGAGGAATCACCTAGAACCACCCACCAGTTTTCAGCTTTCTTCACGGGATAATGACACGCATTCACAAGACCTAGCTCCTTCGACTCGTCCCGTTCCACCTCTTCATCGTCCTCTTCGTCAACTCCTTCCCGTTCGAGCTGCACCTTGACACTCACGATAGAACCCTGCGGCAGATCTTTGCCATCTAGCTGAATCGTCGTTTGCACAGTCACATCCGGAAAAGCGTTACAGAACTTTGCAACAGCTGACATCTTCAGCGTGTCTAGAGGCAAGAGCTTCATTCGAGCATCATCTTCCATACTCAATATATCGACAGGAGTCTCGATGTCCTCTTTCAGATCCATAGTGCCTAGTTTCTCGAGCGTTTCTCGATTGAAATAGGGAATCTGAAGCAACGGCGAATCACTGCTCCATTGTGCTTGCACGACCATCTGTGCAAGGTCCATGGCTGCAAGCGCGGGTTTGAGCCACCCGTTGGAACTGATCACGTCCACCATAGCATGCAAAAGACGGACGGCGTGGCGCAGAATGAAGTCCAAATCCTGGCGTAGCGCTGGGCTCAGGCGGTCGTGTTGCTTACTAAAGTGAACCTGCAGCAGCACATTCGTTTTCACATGGGCCTGACCGTAGTCTCCCCCAGCTGCTACAGGAAACTTGAGATGCTTGGCCAAACCCTCCAGCTTCTTGTCTTCACCGAATCGACTAGGCAGGTCGCTGAACTCGGTAGCAGATGACAAAATGGTCAAAAGTGCACGCACTTTCGAATCTGCCTTTAGGCTGCACGCGAACAGCTCAATCGTGACGTACTTGATGTAGTAATACGCTGCGATCATACCAAGGTTCAAAGGCATAAGACGTTCCTCACCTTCGTTTTCTTCATCTCCCTCTTCTTCGACAACATGAATACAGCGAGACTCTTCTAATGCATTGACAGTGGTCTCCACGAGCTCTGACAAGTGGTCGGATAAGTGCACATTAGTTGCGCCCTGTAAGTTGTAGTAATTGGGATTCTTCATGAACCGACGATACATGAAGGTCCACGTGAGGTAGTCCACTGCATCCTGCTTGCTCTCAATGCTCTTCGTCACAATCTCAGCATTAATGTGGTCGCTCAGAAAGTGCTCAAGTTGCGATTCCACCGGTAAAGGGTCGTATAGGAAATTTGCATAAAACTTCTTCTTTGAAGCGTGACAGAAAAGGACACACTTCACTGCAGAAGAAGCAGCATGGTTGGCAAACTTGGTCATACGGAATACGTCAGCGAGTTGGTAACCCACATACCGGTGCTCTCGGCCGTCGTAATATTGCGTACCCATGATAGCTACCATATACGCATTGATCTGAGCACTTCGTAGTTCCCATGCCATTGATTGCGGAACAACCAACACTTGTAATTTGCCGGCTGCGAACCTGTTCAGCACATAGTCACGATTTTGCGAAGCCATCGTGTCAGTGCAATAGCCCACGCCATTTTCCATCGTGTGTAGCAATGCAGCTTCGTCCAACGGCAACTTCACCTTGTCCTTCGCGGAGTGAGTCACAAACTTTTGCGGGTCGTTTTCAGCCAAAGAAAAGGTGATTAAATCGATCGCGCTTAGCTGGGCCTGCTTAGCTGACGGTACAAAAATTACAACAGGCTTCCTTTCCGCTTGAATTGCGACAGCGTTGTACAAAGGCTTAGCCATTGCTAGCATGCGGGACGAAAAGTCGGTGACCTCAAAGCCTTGTACTCGAATTTCCATCGGCTGCGGGCGGACATTAGGGTGGAAATTGAAAATACCGTCCGATTCACTGGCGCCGAGCCACTCACCAACGTCACGGGCGTTCGCGATGGGATTACTCAGAGCCAAAATGCGCATTCGCTCACCCCGCTCACCGGCTGCTTTCTTCTTTTTGACCACGTCGGCAGCAATAAACCTCATGCGCGACATGACGATTTCAATGGTAGGTCCATATTCGCCGCCACCCACAAAGTGAGCTTCATCCAAAAGGAACAAGCTGATATTTTGGATGCGCTTACGCTGCTTCCAGCGCCGGGAGAGCATGTCCCACTGAGCGGGTGTTGCAATCAGAATGTTTGCACTAGCAAGTAATCGCAAATCGGCGGTCGAGTCACCTGTGAGCTCAACGACCTTTTGTCGCCAAAAACTTTCCTCGCCAAATTTAGCATACCAGTCATCTTTTTTTTCATGACAAATAGCTTCTTTTGGACTCAAATATACGATCAAGTGTTCACCGTACTCGTTGCTCTTCATGTCAGGTTGGCCCAGGGAAAGCAGTGTTTTAACAATAGCAAGCTCTGCTAAAACACTCTTGCCACTTCCGGGTGGAGAGCCAATAAGAAGATTGCTCTCAGATTCGAGCAAGCGAGGCAAAACCTGTGTTTGGATAGGGTTAAAGCGCTTGAACCGCCACGAGTTTGTAGCTTTATTGGCATACGAAAGAGACTTCAGAATGGACTCCGCAACCTCCCTCTTGCCACCTGCAAGCTTTAAGAGAACGTTATTGACAAAGAGTGGTTGGAGGTCTAACAGTTCAGTCGGAGGCACATTCTTTTGCGGGAGAATAAGCTTGTGGAACGACACCGGCAGCGAGCTTTCGCAGTGGATCCACTTGTCAGAAATTACCTTGATGTAGTACAGAGGAGCCAGAGGCTCAAACAATGGCATCGTAAAACTCAGGTACGTTTCCAATGAAGCAAAACGGCGCTTTATCAACAGCCATTCGTGATGAAGAATCGTCTCACCGTCTACGTCTTGTACAAACACCCAAAACCCCTCAGCATTACCGTGCACTTCCCGGGAAAACTCGAAATCAGGCGTCACAACCAGATCTACCTTCAGCATTGAGCGCGTAATCGGTTGCACATGAGCCGAAAGCTCTAATTTTGGAAACTGATGAATTAGCTTGTAAAGCTGTTTTCCATAGTGTGGGTTGTTAATGAGCTGGCCAAGATCAGCGGGCTCCAAGTCGTTGTATTTTTCCCACGAAATGTCTTTCTTCTCAATGCGCTTAAGGATATTTTCGGACAGTCCAGGAGCGAACTGACGAAGAGGTGAGTGTGAAAGCCACATGCGCTTGTCTACCATCTTACAAAAACTGAGCATTCGCTCAGCAAGCGAGGCCCAGCCTCGGTTTAAGCAAATCTCAAATAGTGCTCTGAAAATGCGTGCTGCCGATCGATGAATGTGCGCCATGTCTGCCAAAAGCGCAAAACCATCTAACCTCAGTCGCGAAATGTAAGCTTGTAATAAAACGTTCACCTTTGCTGAGCCACTCCCAACTGCCACACTGCCAGGAGCTGTGGACATCAAAGATTCTTTCACTGGAACGGGCACACGTTCCAAAAGCTTTGCCAGCTCCAACTTCTCCTCTGATCTGACAATAACATACTTGAACTCATTCGAAAGAGAAAACAGCCGTAAAATCTCGATATCTGACATGTGGGGTTTCAGGTACTCATTGTACGTGCTGATCGAGTCGTGAACAATGTAATAATGGCTTGCCACGCGACCAAGCGCTGTTACTTGAAACGATCCCGAGCGCCGCTCGTACTTAATCAGGTTATGTTTCGCCAGCACTGTTGCAGCCGAGTGCACCAAATCTGCGCGATACTGCAGCAGCGTAGGGTCTTCGTTGCGGTCGGCGACAGATACACCGTACAATGTCGGATTGCGCAGCATGCGAATAAATAAATACGTATAGCCTAGCCACGTCGCTGCCTGAGACACATTCTGCACGCCACCCGCCACAATTTCAGCGTTCAGGTTATCAGCGAGCTTTCCCATAAGTTGCGATTCCACCGGCAGCTGCTGGTTCATTAACGACAAGTAATAGGTCAGCTGCGAGTGCTGCGTAATAATAATACCCTCGCCTTGCGTGTCAAACTGCACACGACCGGCACGACCCAGCATTTGTAATATGTCCAACGAACTGAGTTCACACCAGTCACCCTTTTCTGCGTTGTAAACCTGCGTGCCCTTAATTATCACCGTGTGCGCCGGCAAATTAACACCCCACGCCAACGTCGAAGTACTGACGAGAACCTTCAAGTGACCATCGGCAAACGCATTTTCCACCAGGGTGCGCTCTTGGCGCTTCATTCCAGCGTGATGGATTCCAAAGCCATAGGGGAGAAGGTCCTTCAAGGTATCATTGTGCTCAATTTTGTCGGCTTCCTGCAGAAGCACCTCACTGGAGGCAGAATTTGGCTTAATCAGTCTAGCGAGCGCATCGTTCTCCAAAAACAAGTCTCGTAACGCCTGTGCTGTCGAGGCAGTCTCCTTACGCGAATGCACAAATATGAGAACCTGGTTGTCCAACTCTGCCTGTTCCATCACCTTTTCATAACAAATCTCATTCATCAACGCGAAACGTTTGACTGCTTTCTTTTCCATGATACCAATGTACTGCTGTTGAAGAGGCACAGGACGGTAGCTGGAATCAAAGTAAAATAACCCTTGAGCGGGATCGACACGCAGGAACGCTGCTACGTCCTCGTAGTTCGGAAGTGTAGCAGAAAGGCCCACAAGTCGAACCATTTGCTGCGTGGCTTCCACATTCCGAATGGTACGGGCAACTAGAGCCTCCAACACTGGACCACGTGTGTCGTGCAGCAAATGAATTTCGTCAATGATCACTAGACGCACAAGCTGAGTGTACGTGCGGTCGTCTCCGGACTTGCGCGTGATAATATCCCACTTTTCGGGAGTCGTGACTATGATCTGTGTGCTAAATAGTTGCTCGCGAGACAGATTCTGATCACCGGACAGCTCTCGAACCTGAATGCCGTAGGCATCAGACAATCTAGCGGAAAAATTTAGCACAACTTCTTGCACGAGCGCCTTCATCGGGGCCACATAGACAATCTTGAACGAATCCAAATCAATTTTGCCAGTTTCTGAATCACGAGCCTTCATGACCTCATGCAAGATTGTCAGCATCGCGACATTCGTCTTACCCGCGCCTGTAGGAGCACACAGTAACAGATTTTCACTTGTTTCAAAAGCTGCAGAAAACATCTTCGACTGCACACGGTTCAACGATTCCATGCCATTGAAAGCACCCTGTGCCCACCTTGGTAGCGTTGAGATCTTGATGCGCGCTTTTTCTTCACCAACAGCCATCTTCGTGCGAACGGCAGGCACGTGGACCTCTTCATAACCCTTTTTCTGCGCACGCCATGTGCCTTCAGGCAAGCGGCATTCACGGTTGCTCATCAGATGCCCGCCTTCCTGAAAAGCAAGAGACTCGACATCCACATATCGCTGTGGTTTTCTCGTCTGCGCGTCTTCTTTTGCCTCTTCGATGACATCCCTGCTCACATCGTCCATATCGACATCGTCATCAGACTCATTGCCACGAGCCTTCGCGCGCTGCCCACCAGGTTTATGTTGTAATTTCCGCAGCTTGTTAGCCTCCGCGCGGGACGTGGTCTCTCTTGCGCCAATACGATCCTGCATCCACGAGTCAGCCGACGACGTCGTGCGCAACTGATCTAAGATAGCCTTCCCTTCGCCGTTATCCAGCGTCTCGTCGACGCGCATTTCTTCTTCGATACGACGTCGCTCTTCGTCGTTCTGAGCCTGTTTCAGCCTCGTGCAGTACAGTACTTTCGCTCTGTTTTCTAGCAACAGTTTGATAAAGTCGAACTTGTCGTAATCGAGCAGCAACACCAGTTTGTTTTCGCATGCACTAAGGTCACACCCTGCTTCTTTCAGAATGCTCAGCACATCTTCCGCAAGCTTGGCACTAATCTCCGCGTCCTTGTAGAACTTGGACAGCTCCCGCTGAAGCCAAAAAGCATCAATTGCATGCACGTCCAGACGGTGCTGCGCATCAACGTCCTCTTCCTCGTCGTATCCGTCCTTCATCTTCATAGCTTCACGTCCAGCCACCATGGCCCCATACTCTTCCACCTCCTCATCGTCGTCCTCGTCGTCTTCGTCGCCGTCCCGCACTTCATCCAGATCCGACTCCTCCTCCTCGTCTTCGTCATCAAAGACCACCGCCACGCCCATCTCCTTGTCCACTTCTTCCTCACTCTCGACCACCGCCGCGTCTTCCCGCCCCTCGTCCTTCTTCTTCATCTTCTTCTGGTCGCTACCGTCCACATAAAAGTCCGTAATCTTCTTCCCAGCGGCCACCACCTGACTAAACGTGTGCGTCGATATGCTCTTGAGCAGTTTTTGCACCTCCCGATGCTTCTCGTCGTCTCGGTACGCGTCCGTCTTTAAAATCGCCAGCACTTCTTCGGCGACACCGGCCAAGATCTCGCCTGGCTGGGCGCCCAGTTGCTGCGCCACGACGCTCAGAATCTGCTCGTACGCGTCCTGACTCGCGGCATTGCGCGGGCGGTAAGCGGCCGACTCAAACACCGAACTCTCTTTTAGAATATTACTTTTGACAGTTGCCAGGCCGCCCGTCGCGGTGAACAACACGCCGTCGCCTCGACTCGTGCTGTCGTCCGCGTCGCCACGTCGCTTCTTCCGCTTGTGCTTCGCTGCGGACCGCGCGTCCGCGTCCCCTTCTTTGTCGCGCTTGCGACTGCTCTGCGGCGTCGCCTTCTGCGCGCGGTCGCCCATGCGGTAGCTGATCTTGCCCGCCAGCGACTCCACCTCGCCCGTGGGCTCATCGGGCCGTCGACGCGACTCGCTGTCGGCCTGGAGGACCAAGTTGGAGTTCTGCTGGTACGCATACTGCCGCGACCGCGCGACCTCTTCCGCCATGCTCGACCAGAGTGATGGTCTCTCTTCGGGCTCCAAGCGTTTCCTTTGACCTGGGGGAGGGGGATTTTAACCGAGAAAAACCGGTAGACTTCAGTACTTACTGTTTTTCTACGGCGACTCGAACGTAATCGGTAATACTGACATCATGCAAAGGGCGAAAGTCGCATGTGACAAGAGATTGAGATGCCGTATCTTACTGGACGACGGTTGTTCGTTTACGCAAACCAACTTCATTTGATTTACCCTTGGAGCAACATACGGTCAAAACGGTGTTCGGATGATGCACGTGCAAGTGTTTCTGCGCTGGTGCGACGTAAGACTACTTCTTTTCTTTTTGATTAATTTTTAAAGCGTATTCGTATCGTTCGTGTCGCATGCACGAGACGCGTGTGGTAGTTTATATCCTTATCGTGACTGTGTAAATTTCTTTTTGCTGTGCTGTCCCGGAATCCACATTGCGCATCTGTTGACGCGCAATGTGGATTCCGCTAAATAGCATGCAGGAAGACATTAAGGTGGTCGCGCAAAGGTCTTGGCTTTCACCCATTGCGTCACGCACATGTTTTATGACATTTAATTACGTCGCAAAAAACTCGCCTACCTGTTTTTTTGTCAGTAGCAGGTCTGATATCAGCAAGAAGATCGGCAACCTCTACCCCACCGAGCCCTAAAAAACATATTGGTAGCGTTAATGGAACGCTAGGGTGAGTGATACCGTTTATGTAGAATGGAGTGTAGTCAGGAGAGACATGAACAGGAATGTTCAACGCAAACTCAATAACAGTGAGCATGGAGCTCAAACGCTTGGGTGTATCAGCACAAATACTACACAACATGTCACTAAAAACGCGATCAACACGCTCAGTTCGACCATCGGTCTGCGGATGATCCGCTATGGACATGTCCAATCGGTTGCCGAGCACCTTGAAGATGGACTTCCAAAGCTGAAGCAGGGATCTCTACAAAAGACAACTGCCATTGGCAAACCATGTCGTGAAGCAGGGATGTCTATAAGAGACAACTGCCACTGGCGAACCATGTCGTCGACACACACGGTCGATAAAAAGCTTCGCTATACCTTCGGCATCAATAGAGTCCGGCACTGCCGCTAGATGAGCCATATTGCTCAATCGGTCAACAAAGACTACAATGCCAGTGTTGCCTTCCGCCGCCGCCGCATGTGCTGAGGGTTTAACCCGTTGACGCATTTCACACGGACGCACATAGATGCTCACCCACTTGTACAGATTGGGCCACCAATAAGCCTGGCTCGCTGAGCTACAGGTCTACTCACGACCGAGATGACCATGTGGTGGAGTGGGGTTCGCTCATTTTTTGAGGCGATCCCGACTCTCCACTGGCGCCCAGACGACCGACTAACGGAGCGGGTACTTTGATTTTGCTTGCACTTGTTTTCTCCTCGCCTTGTGTACCCGTCGGCAGGGCGGGTTGCACTCTTCTAGGTGGACTCGACGAGATGCTAAACTTGACCGTCGTAGAGATTGGTGCTGATCGGGTGGAAAATCCTCACCCGATCGCGTGTTCTGGGTTGGCGCTCTCCTAGAGTCGCCGTGATCTGCCCTGATCACCTTGTGCCAAAATGTGTACTTAAGTCGCGAGCCTTTCTGGCCACTTGAGCCGTCTCGCGACCTTGTACTTCAACCGTACGGTTGGCTGCGTCCGATCGCAGTAGGGGTGTGTTGAGAGTCCTAGCACTCCTGACCAAAAGCTCCAGGAGTGATCGTTCTATCCTTGATGTCGAGATTCTCAGACGTCGGGAGGCCAAAATATCCAACCCGGGAGAAGATCGACACGAATGTGTTTAGAAGCAAATTGAAATATGTTTAATGTTGACTAATTAGACCCTCACACCTTACCCCTATAAATCGGAAAATTAGATGCCACGCATCGCCTCTACAGATCGCCCCTTGTATCCATGTGGCACAGACCTGACACACCAACCGTCTGATCGCATCAGGGCATGGTGCATGCCGGATCGCGGTCCTTTGATCGCGGTCCCTGATCGCGGTCCCCTGATCGCAGTCCCCTGATCGCGGCCCCTGATCGCAGTCCCCTGATCGCGGCCCCGGATCGCGGTCCCTCAATCGCGGTCCCTCAATCGCGGTCCCTCAATCGCGGTCCCCTGGTCGCGGTCCCTTGATCGCGGTCCCTTTCGCCGTTCTGAACCGTTCTGACCGGATGAGTTCCGTGAATGATCCCAACGGTGCCATCCATATGATTGGTCCTTGTCCCACGATCATTCCGCCGATCCCCACTCCGTACTTATGCATAAGTTTGAGGATTTACGACACCAATCTTGATCGACTTTACAACAATCGCCCCCTGCACAAATAGCCGATCTGCAACATCTGGCTCGCTTGTGCACGTTTTTAGTCACCACTTTCCGTTTGATCTTCTCGTTGCCTTCCATGTGTTCCTAGTCGTCCACGCCCATCTTGCCACCAACTAGTTGTGCGCCATCTCCCTCGTTGATGACGCAATTTGGTCCCGCACCTTCGGTCGGTGTTAAGGTTTCGCCACACATGCGTCCGTGCTCTACGAGATACGGGAAGCAGATTTTCCACCCGATCAGCACCAATATCTACAACGGTCAAGTTTAGCATCTCGTCGAGTCCACCTAGAAGAGTGCAAACCGCCCTGCCGACGGGTACATAAGGTGAGGAGGGAACAAGTGCAAGCGGAATCAAAGTACCCCCTCCGTTAGTCGGTCGTCTGGGCGCCAGTGAAGAGTCGGGATCGCCTCAAAAAATGAGCGAACCCCACTCTACCACAATGGTGCGCGTGCCCGGATCTTCTTTTGACTTAAAAGGTTTCACCGTGAGTCCCGAGATGAAGATGTTAAGATCAAGACTGAACCTGGGCTTGGAGCGTCAGCGAAATTTGGATCGCCACAGACGCGCGAAGAGAAAAGATCCCAAGATCATCATCACTTTTTGGGAGGGGCTATGATGACAAGAAAGTCAAAGAGGAAGATCACCAAGCTGATCTGGAAGAAAAACCGCAACCCCCTCCTGAAGTCCCTTCGGGGACCACCGCGGATCGTGCTGCAAAGCACGATCTGCCAGATGAAAATCCATCAGTCAAAACTGAAAGATCTTTATCCAAAACCAAAGCCCAAACAAAGGCGAGGAAACACACTCCTAAGTTGGCCCGTTCAACGACGAAGACGGCAGAGCCGCATCGAAACAAGCAAGAGATCAAGGCAGAAGGTCAGGATGTGGAATCAGAAGGCTGGCAATTGGAACGGATCACCTCGGAATTCCATTGGCAACAACTGAAGAAACTTCTTGCAAAAGACCCAGTCCTAAAGGTGCTGAAACCTAAGCTGATCGGGTCGATCCAAGGTCCAGTAACGCCACCGAAAGTGACCTCGAATCAGTTGGAGGCATTGCATCGGCTTATTCAGCTGCTAGGAGACGCTGGATTTACAGCTGAAGCTTTCGACACACAAACGCTCTTAGAACTTAATCGCGATCGCGTGATCAAAGCAGGACAGCTACTATTCGAAAAGTTAACTTCACTGACAGGGTCTCACAACCCTATGAGATAACGTATCAAGAGTGAAGAAGGACATCTGAGCCAGCGAATCAAGAATGAAGAAGGACACCTAAGCAAATAGAGAGTCAACTAACCGCCACGTGAAAGAGGAATACACGGGGTCGTCACGCTATGCCTCGGCAGAATCAGATATGGACTCAGACGAGTCGTTTGGGATGGATGTCGCTGGGACCGACAGGGGCAGCAATGCTTAAAACCAGGCTCGACCCGGCTAACAATAAAATACGATCGACTCAAATTCCGGCTTCACATAATGCAAACACGGTGGAGCCAAGCCAGTTGCAAACATATTTAAAGGCCGCCATGGAAAAATTCATTCGCGATCGCGAAGAACAAGGTTCTAACTACCCGATCGTCCCAGACGTCGAAATGGAGTCAGTAGACTACCGCGATCGACCGGGAGAACATGAGTCAGATCGCAGGGGACCATTTGATATAAGACGACCACAAGTGGCAACTGCAGGAATCGCCCCTACGGGAGGTTTCAGCGCACAGAGGATTAGATTGTCGGCGATGGCCTATCTGAAAGAATCTTCAGGACGTGATCAAGACCAAGAACGTGCTAGAGGTTGAATTAACAAGATGAAGACTGCCTTTCTACGCGATCAGGCTCCAGACGACGAGATATTTCTGGTATTTGGAGACCTGCTCACAGGACCTGCCCGAAATACACAATTTGGTACAGCCAGTTGAGCCGATCGACCCGCGATGATTGGAAGTCGTTGTCGGAAGGCTTCATGGTCCGATGTGGAGGATATGGAATGTCAGCTGAAAGACAATACTATCACGCGCGGAAGAGACCGAATGAAACCCCGTTATAATACTTGGACCGGTTGAATGTAGCAGGAATGCGAGCAAAAGTGGCGTTCAGAGATGGATCGCCAGCAAGCCGACGTGAGCATGTAGAACACTTCATTGACACTTTGGAGGATCGAGAGTTGGCGAAGCAACTGACCCTATTGCGAGTGCATGATGCTAACACGATGTAAGAAACTCTACGCGCTTATCAGCGTACGAGTTTTCGACAGAAAAAGGATCCGACTGACTCGAACAAGTACCGATCGCGATCGGCTACGACGCCAGCCCAAGTATATTCGAAGACACCACGGATGGTGAAGGCCATTCGTGCAGAAAGTGAGGAAAGCGACTCAGGCTCAAGTTCGGACGATGCAGATGAAGAATATTACGCCGTAAGGTTTGTGCGACCACTATCACTGAACAGGCTGCAGACTTAAAGGATCAACGAGACAGATCGCGAAAGACAGACCGAGATGATGATCGCGATCGGGGCGGAGTTGCGAAAGCCTGCACACACTGTGTAACGGGGTGAATCGTTACATAACAATTTATAAGAAATTGTTAATAGAATATAACTATAAGAGTTATATTCTCAGAATATTGTCATAAGGACAATATTCTGTAGCACTTCCAAGTAGTCCCTAATTGGTTGATATAGGCCATTATATCAACCAACGAAGACGCGCCACGACAGACGCACGCAATGAGTGGTGAGCAGATAACTGATTTACACATTTGTATTTAGACATAGTTAGATGAAGATAAATAGTGATTTATTGCAGACATTAACTATTATAAATACAGTTCTACTTTTTACTCTAACCGAGTACTCGCTTCTTCTTACCGTCTTCCTCTGCACGTACGAGTGTACGTGAAGTTACGAGGCACCGCCTTATTCTGTTATCAGAATAAGTAGCTTGTACTGTCACCAGTACAAGCTTCAGGGTGCCCCGTTACACCTGGTAGCACTTCGTAGTCCGTCCAAGGACAGCGTTCACATCCAACATGAATATGTTGGATGATGAAGATGACCAAAGCTTTCACGCTACGCGTGACGGCTACTCCCATTTGAGCGATGTCGAATGGGATGCGGTTGAACGAATGGGTTCGACCATGGGCATCCATGCTGTTAGCGTCATGCTAGAGGCTCTCAATAGAGATGCCCAACATGCTACTATCGCCAAGTTCATTCAAAATGAACTTGACGCAGAACGCGAGAAAGTAGCCTTGCTTCACCAACAAGGTTCTCAACAAGCAGAGTTGTTGAGAGAACAAGGTGCTCAACAGTTTGAACTGTTGAGACAGCAGCAGGCTGCTGCTGGCGGGTCGATGCACTCGCGTCGGCCCGAGACTTTGAAGATTGACATCTCAAAGTATAGGGGGTCGAAGAAGACTCCCTCTTGAGATGGTTCGTCGAATTGGATGACGCCATAAGGGCGCGTCGCATCGACGACGGGGATATGCAAGTTGCATTTGCCCAGTCAAATCTGGCAGGACGTGCCAAGACTTGGGCACTGGGGCTCAAGCTGCACGACCCATATGCGTTTGGGTCGTTGGAAGTCTTCAAGTCGCGGCTCAGACAAACGTTTGAACTGCCTAGAGCTGAGTTCAGAGCTCGAACCGAACTCTTGAAGCTCAAGCAGGGTAAGCGTGATGTGCACGCTTACGCTCAACATATACGACATCTCACGAGTTGTATAAGTTCCAATCCGGTGGATGAACACACGTTGGTTTCGGTGTTCATGCAGGGTCTTGCGGATGGTCCCGTCAAGACTCACCTGTTCCGGCTTGAACTAGATTCACTAGAACAAGCCATTTCAATTGCGGAGCAGGAAGACTTCAGTCTGGAGACAGGCTCGCGCCAGCTCGACATCATATCGTCAACCGAGACGATATGACAACGGAGGTCCAGAGCCGATGGAACTCTGTTATGTAGAGAGCGAGAAGGCTCGCTCTACAGGCTACAAGAAGTTGCAGAGATGCAACAGATGTCAAAAGACAGGACACTACGCTTACGAGTGTAGTGCTCCTCGTCCAGTGTCTCGCGACACTGGGCGTAGTGACCGTCCACCCATGAGAAAGGGGCAGGGACGAGGGTCCGCAGTTGGTGCAAAGACGCAACAACGGGATGGACCGTCAAAAAACGGACAGGATCAGTAGGTGCGGAGCACCCTACTGATCCAGCAACGTCAAGAGAATTTGTAGGCCTCTTGATGAAGGTTGCTCCCAACACACAGACATTGTGCGTTGCTGCTCTAGGTAATGAGATCTCACTCATTACCTTGAAACTCGAAGTGACGAATAAGTTGTCCCTTCGAGCTCTAGTCGATTGTGGGGCGTCCAACAATTTTGTGCGACGCCAATCGCTAGAAGATGGTCACTTTAAATTCAGTGAATGTGACACACCTCCTACGAGGATGACGGTACGTCTTGCGACAGGCGCATCCGTAATCAAATATGAAGCGTATAGTGAAGATTCACTATACGCTAGAAGATACCCAATACGACGATGACTTTATCGTATTGGATTTGGATGACAAATTTGATGTCATCTTGGAATACCGTGGCTCAGAAGGTACGAACCACGGGTAAACTGGCAACATCGGACAGTAACGATGCCTGCCGCTTGTTCATCAGATGGCCATCTGATGAACGTTTTGGAGCGTCCACAAGCGTGTGGATGTACTACGAGTGAGTGCGATGGCCTCACTTGTGGTACGGTCGTTAGTACGACTGCACAAAACCTTAGTGTACCAAACGGTTACACTTCGGAGCAAAGTTCCGGCGGCTGTGAGGGAAACACAGGTTGCGCTGAAGGTCCACCACTCGAATAAGTCGGGTGGACTGGGACAAAGATGTATCCCTAGAGGGGAACATCTAGAAGAGAAACAATCGATCGCTCAGGTTAAGCGAAACGATAATCCTAGATCGACTGGAGAGTCTTTCGTAGAGGATCTCGCTGTGGTTGCGCAACCCCAGCTAGAGGAAGTAAAGGGAATAAGTCCCAAGATTACAAATACGGCGGAAATAAGTTCCCCGAAACCCGCGGGAATAAGTCCTCGGGAAGACGAAGGAATAAGTCCTTCGAAGCCTGAGGGAATAAGTCCCCAGGAAATGACAGAGACATTGAATGTCATAGTCAATAACGGATCATGTGTAGGCGCTTATACACTTGATCTGATTGCGCCTCCGAAGTTAACTTCGGAGATCACTCAGTTGCCAACGCTCGAACATAAAAGGTTCTTGCGTGATCTGCGTAGTGGCAAAGTCAAGCAGATCTGCATACTCGTCGCTGACGACGAGTATGTAACCGACATAAGGTCAGCAACAGTGTTTACTGAGAACGAGAGAGTTCTCAGTAGTTCATCTATGGACGAGAGTGTCCTAGATGAAAAGACACGAATTGAGCGATATGAGTCCCAATCATGGGAATCGCTCAAGGAAAACCCTCTCTATGAGGATTTGGTTGAATTCAAGGATGTATTCCCTGAAACTGTTCCGTGCGAATTACCGAAGGATAAAGGTATTCGACACGAAGTCGAGCTTAAACCAGGCTCGAAGTACTGTGTCATGAAGCAGTGGCCACTGCCTCGTGAACAGTACTTGCGATCGACAAGTTCTTTGCCGATCGTTTAGCAGCGGGCCATGTGAGGGAATCAACTTCCCCACATAGCTCTCCGACCTTCTGTGTGCGAAAAGCAACAGGAGGGTGGCGGATAGTGCACGCGTTTAACAAATTGAACGCTGCAACGGTACCGGCTCAGACGCCGATACCGAGGAAGGACGTAATCATTGATGGTATGTCAAAGAGTACCATCTTTTCGTCCATGGATTTGATGGATGGCTTCTATCAAATCCTAATGCGGGAACGGGATATACCCTATACCGCAGTTAGCACGCCTAGCGGCATGCTCTGGGAATGGCTAGTAATGCCACAAGGGCTCAGTAATGCCCCTGCCACGTTCAACAGATGTGTATCACATCTGTTGAGACCAGTACGAGAGTTCGCGCCGAGTTATTTCGATGACGTATTCATCCATAGTCGAGCTATGGATGGAAAGTCGGACGTTGAGGTTCACAGGTACCACGTCCGACAAGTTCTTACAATCATGCGAAAGCATCAATTGTATGCTAACCTCAAGAAGTGTATATTTGCAGCAAGCGAAATACCACTTCTTGGGTGCATCGTTGGTAAGAACGGTGTACGTCCTGATCCCGAAAAGATCAAGGCGATCACCGACTGGCCTGTGCCGGTCGATGTCAAAGGTCTTCGAAAATTCCTTAGCTAGCGGCGTATTTGCATAAGTATTCACGCAATTACGCCGAGATGACTGTACACCTCTCTCGTTTGTTGAAAAAGAACGAGAGGTGGTTATGGAACGCTGAATGTCAACGCTCCTTTGAGGGTATCAAGCAGAGCTTGATACAATCCCCAGTCCTAGCAATAGCCGATCAGGACAGGCCATTTCATGTGGTCTGTGATGCCAGCGATTTCGCAATCGGCTGTGCATTAATGCAGTACGACCTTGAAGGCGTTGAACGCGTCGTTCTGCTATCAGTCGCGTCAGCTGCAACCAGCTGAGCGGAACTATCCAGTGCATGACAAGGAACTCCTTGCCATGAAGTATGCACTCGCGAAGTTCAGAGTCTATCTATTAGAGATAGACCCTTCGTTGTTTACACTGACCATGCGTCCTTACGCACGGCAGTGAACAGCCCGCACCTTTCACAACGAATGGCGCGGTGGTTGTCATTCTTTGCAGAATACAACTTTACGGTCGAGTACAAACCAGGACGACTTAATGTCGTCGCTGATGCACTCTCACGTCGTCCCGACTTTGAAACAGTCGCGAAACCCAACAGTGAGACAGTCACTGTTGCGGTTATGACGTCCTCAGTTCCATCTACAACGTTGTATGATGATGTGAGGCGGGCATACGCCCAAGATGGTGAGATAGTGAAGTTGTTGTCACATCTCTCCCAACCATCTCGAGAATCGTTGAAACGATTGTCGTTCTGCGTATCGATCTGCATCAGATCGATACACTACTCGTAACGGTTTACTGTACTATACAGCCGTTTCTGGTGACACACCACGTGTTGTCATTCCAGATGATACTGATCTGCGTTTGCGGATCATGTTCGAGTATCACGATGCTCCTATAGGAGGACATCGTGGCCGAGAGAAAACATATCTCACGGTAAGTCGAGACTTTTACTGGCCCCGCCAGTATCAGTTTGTGCGAAAGTATGTTCGCGCATGCGAAGTCTGCCAACGAGTGAAGTCAAGTCCTTCACTGCGTGCACCTTTACAGCCTCTACCGGTTCCGGCTGAGTGCTGGGAATCCATCTCACGGATTTCGTCTTCGGGTTACCCAAAGACGCACGCGGGAATACGGGTATTCTCGTATTTGTTGACAGATTCAGCAAAATGGTACACCTTGTGGCTGTACCAGAGACAATCACGGCAAGTGGCTGTGCTTGTGTCTTTATTGACACCATCTTCCGACTTCATGGGTTGCCCCGTGAACTCGTATCAGACAGAGATCCACGATTCACTGCTGATTTCTGGCGTTCCGTGTTCAAATCACTCGGAACGCGCTTGAAGATGTCAACATCTGATCATCCAGAGTCAGATGGTCAGACGGAACGTGCCAATCGTGTCCTTGAAGAGATACTTCGAGGATACGTACACTCCTTTAAGAGTTGGAGTGAGTTTTTGCCGATGGTAGAGTTTGCCATCAACAACTCGGTGCATGCGTCCACGACACATACACCGTTTTACGTGAATGGCTTGCGCCATCCGCGTGTACCCACCTTACTAGAGTGTAACTCTGGTTTAAGGGGGGAGGGACTCGCGCGAGCAAAAACCGATTTGGTTCACGCTCATCACGCTCTGACGAAGAAGTCATTGCGTTTGATGCCGATATCGATAACATCGATATCGAAGAAGATGATGCCAGTGAGAGTGCGGAAGCCCTCACTGAAGACAATGATCCCAGTGAGAGTGCGGAAGCCCTCACTGAAGAAAAGGTTGTTGTTGCTGCAGTGCGCTCACAGCACACTGAAGCTAACGAGTCATCAGATGAGTTCATACTGGCTCGTGAAACGGTAGTCCGTTTTGTGCAAGACTCCATCGCCGAAGCGGTGGATAAGCAAAAGCAAAACGCTGACAAGAATGGAAGGGCAAACACTCTTTTATTTAATAAAGGTGACTTAGTCCTACTGTCTACGGTTAATCTACCAAAACATGTAGTGACTCAACTTGGGTAGCAGTAAACTACTACCCAAGTACATTGGCTCCATTTCGTGTATTGCACCGCCTAGGCAATGCATACACGATCGAGTTACCACGTAAGATGCGAACGCATCCCACGTTTTACGTTGGTCGGCTTAAGCCGTACCATCAGTACGCTGCTTCTTCCGATGAAGAACGCCCTTGCGCTCAAGCATCTCGCAGAGAGCCTTGTGCTCCCGATGGTGGGCATCAACAAGGGTCTGAAGAGCAGTTATCTCAGCCCGAGACCGATCAACAATCCCACGAGCTACCCTTAGCTCGTCACGAAGAGATGTCAGAGATCTCTCGTTCTCAAGCTGAGCAAAGGCAAACTCAGCTCGATGCTTCGAGGCAGTGTCCACCATCTGGAGACGCCTATTCCGCTCATGCTCGAGATCGTCGCGTAACCCTTGCGTTACGCGATCAAAGAAGCTCTCGGGAACACACCGATCCACATGATCGTGTGGAGAGCGTCTTTCCTCCTCCTCCACCTCCATTAGAGGACTCTCGCGGTGGCCAGCGCTATCTAGTAGAGCAGCTGTTGAACCACCGCGACGTGAACGGACGTCGGACGAGTTACCTCGTCCGGTGGCGCGGCTATCCCCCGTCCTGGGGATTCTTGGGAGCCCCGCTCCCAACTGATGGTTGACGTACTGGGTCTGGTCGAGCAGTACGACGCGACACATCCTGTGCCGCAGAAGGACCGCCGGAGAAAGTCTTCCCGGCACGGTCGTAAAGGGATTTCAGGTTGTCAATCCCTTCGTACATCTCAGTAGAGACACGTACGCGCCACCACGGGCTGGTAAGGAGGTAAGCCTCCTTAGGTGCTCGTGCAGAGTTGTTCACACAACATGGGCACGAGTCTCCCCAAGAGAGGCAGGGTAATCCTTTCTCCCTTGACAGACGATGCAGCTTATAGCGTGCACCTGTCGGGGTTCGCTTTTCAAACTTATCACGAGCTTTGATAAGTTTGTCGTTCCAAGCGTCACGACCTACATCCTCGAGATTATGGATGTAGGCGTTCCACGCCTGAAGTAGTGAGGGACCATCACGTTTGTGATTCCCACTGTACCATCGATGTCTGAAGAAAGCATCGATGAAGAACTTCATGTTCAGCGCGATAGTCTTTCGCGCTGGGGTCAAGGTGATGAATCCTTGACGAATCGAACAATCGTGTTCGATAACGATCACTCGTCGTCGCCGACAAGTGATCCATGACAGATTTAGGAGGCATCCATGCCTTCTTTTCTGGAGCGAGACGCAACACATTGCGGTCCCGCTCTTCCTGCGACGTGCCGACAGAAGTACTGGCACTGCTGTGAAGTGGTGTCCATTGGAGAAACGACACCACTATTAGCGCCCGAGTCTCGCGACCTCGAGCGCCTTCGTTGGCGATGGTTCATCTGACTCATCAGATGAACCAAAGATGCTGCGACGCAAAGCATCGTCCATGCCACGCTTGGCAGGCGGCTTGGATTCACTGCCGTCGATACGGATCCGTCATCCGTATCAGGAGAGTACGAGACACCGAGCTCGTACTCTGTGAAGACACGAGTGTCTTCATGACCAGCGCCTGCATCACCAGGTGATACAGGCTGAGTCGATTCAGCAACCGATGGGATATCAGTTGCTGTAGTTTCTGCTTCGGCGTCCGCACAGAGACGTGCAGACGCGCTCTCGGCGGCCTTGCTCGCGCATCGCATGGGCTTGTTTACCATGCGATGAGATGTTGGAAAGTGGACGCGGACCAACAAGTGCAAACCCCGTCCCAAATGATTTGGGACGAGTATCCATTTAGTCAATCAGTCACTAAAGTGACTGATGGTTAAGGGGGGTGATGTAACGGGGTGAATCGTTACATAACAATTTATAAGAAATTGTTAATAGAATATAACTATAAGAGTTATATTCTCAGAATATTGTCATAAGGACAATATTCTGTAGCACTTCCAAGTAGTTCCTAATTGGTTGATATAGGCCATTATATCAACCAACGAAGACGCGCCACGACAGACGCACGCAATGAGTGGTGAGCAGATAACTGATTTACACATTTGTATTTAGACATAGTTAGATGAAGATAAATAGTGATTTATTGCAGACATTAACTATTATAAATACAGTTCTACTTTTTACTCTAACCGAGTACTCGCTTCTTCTTACCGTCTTCCTCTGCACGTACGAGTGTACGTGAAGTTACGAGGCACCGCCTTATTCTGTTATCAGAATAAGTAGCTTGTACTGTCACCAGTACAAGCTTCAGGGTGCCCCGTTACACACTGCGGCTCGAAAAGACATGACGATCGCGGATGCTGGAAAAGATTGACCTGTCAGAAGTGTGGCCGAAAAGGGCACCCCTCGGACAAATGTCTACATGTGTGTTCTGCTTGTGGGGAAGTTCACGAGAGCGGCCAATGTCCCATGGAAGATTTCTACAACCTGATCCGCAAGATGCACGTCCCTACCAAGCACGCAGGACTACTACCGACCAAGGCAGAAGAGATGTTTAACTAGGAAGATCGCCAGGATGGAATCTGGCACGAGCCGAGCGTTCTAGGCTATGCATATATGCATTTGTGGAGCAAAGCAGTATCGACCAAGGGAGTAACAATCGGATCGACCCGACCGCTAATACATGTATCAGGAACACCATTATTTGTGTGACATTTCAAGTGTAAAAAAGGTGGATGAACATGCACGATCTCCCGTTAAGATGGAACTCGATCTAGCGCCGGTGGAATCAAGAGGATATTAAAAATATCACACGCCAGGAAAATGGTTTAAACAGGCTAAAGCGGTGGGTAAAATCAATAACGAAAAGGCCACCATGCTATTCGATTCTGGAGCCGAAGTCTCAATTATAGACGCCACCTTTGCTCGTAAGGTGGGATGTGTGATTGATGACAGGTAGAGGCAGGAATGTGTGGGAATCGGGGAGAATGCCTACATGATGGAAGGAAGCACCAAAATCAAGATCACATTAAACGGAACGCTGGTGTATTACTTTGACGTTTATGTGGGCGATAAAGTGGGCCAAGAAGAGATTTTAGGCATGGACTTTATGGTGCCAGCAAGAATAAGGTTAGATCTGGCGGGCGGTACGCTTTGTTTGCCAGATGAGGTGAAAATTCACTTGGCAGGGCGCAGGCCTCCGTATGAGGTAAACATGCAACCGATCGTTATCCCAGACCAACATTTAGTAATTCCTGCTAGAGACTCAACGGAGATGAGGATTGGAGCAGGTTTCCCTAAGTCCAAACTATGGGTGAGACGGGATATAAAATGGGTGCCGACGGTGATTACTGGACCGAGCCAGATCAAGAACTTGATACTGACCAACATCGTCGACCAGCAGGTGATTCTCAACTACGATATTCATTTAGGGTGGTGGATGATGTCGGACATATTACCTCGATCGCCGGGCTATGTAGTAGTTGGATCACGCCGGTATAATGAATGGCAGACTCTGGCGTTTGTAGCTACAACGGAATCAACCAAGGAACACCCGATCGAGTATTCGAGGCACTTAGTGAATCACCCGTCATACCTCATCCCAAAGAAGATTATGACCCACAGAGATAAACAAGGAAGGAATATGGAGGGAAGCCGATCAGATCTGCTAGCTCCACAAGCAAAGATGACGGATGTCACAGAACGCCAGATCGTGAAAGAGGATCGCCTTGACAGCGACGAGCCGCGATCACCAGAGGCACCTGCCGTGTTCAATACCTCAGTGAAGGCAGAAGAGATCTATCGGTCACAAGAACACTCGTACGACATAATCAGACAAGCACAAGAGATCGCGATCGGCGATGATCACCCGGTCGGAGACGATCAGGAGCTCAAATTGTCAGATCAAAAGATACAGAATGCTACGGTACTGAATCGCGAGGGAGATATGACAGACGAGACTCAAACGAAGTCGGTGGATTATCGCCGTGATGGTGGTGATTTATTTGCGGAAGAAATGGACCAACATATGGCACTCTTGCCAAAAATAATTGCGCCCACAAAGGAAGTGGCTATAGATGACATCCAGGTTGGCGATCCAGGTGTCCCGCTGACAGACGATCAGGAGAAGCTGAGGAAACTACTTTGGAAGAATCGCCACTTACTCATAGGCAAAGAGAACACCTTGCCTCCAGCTGCGCGTGGAGCAGTATATTACATTGATGTTGGAGGTGCCAAACCGATCGCGCAAAGCGTACGGCCGGTGGCACCTAAATATCGAGAAAAATTGGCGGACCTGATCAAGGGATTATTATCAGCCAAGGTTATTCAAATGTCCATTTCACTTTGGGCTTCTCCGATCGTGGTGATTACAAGTAAATTGGGGAGGACATACGGCTGTGCATCGATTACAGGAGGGTGAATCGGTTGGCAAGATTAACGATACATTATCCATGCCACTAATCAGCGAATTTTTACAAGATTTGGATAAAGCGATGTGGTGTTGTTCGTTAGATATGGCGAGTGGTTTTTAAGTAGTGGAAATTACGGAACGAGCAAGAGCTATATCTGCATTCATCACGCCTTCGGGTTTGTTTGAATGGTTGCGAATGCCTTTTGGGCTAAAAACGCTCCCCAGATATACGAACGACTTATCGAAAATGCACTAAACGATTATCTCAAGATCGACCCAGCACCTAACTCGCATGCAGTAACATCGTCGACAGTAACCGATGTGTTCACTGACGGAGTGCCGGACACAGATCCAAGACCATCAGTTTTAGGCTTAAGGACCTAAATCGGTGACATCTTGATACCTGCTAAATCCTGGTGATCCCTGTACGAAAAGGTGGAACGATTGCTAGAGGTGTGTGATTGATAGAACCTATCGATCAGTGTGGCAAAGAGTTTCTGGGGGCGCTGTAATGTCGACTATCTAGGCCACCAAGTTTCACACAAAGGGTTGGAAGCCTACCCCAAGGATTTAAACTCAATTGCGAATATTTCCTTCCCTTAAACTCTGCTATCAATGCAATCATTCTTAGGAAGTCTAAATTACTGCAGTCGTTTTATCGAAGCCTTCGCTATATATGCGTCCGTGCTCTACGAGCTACGGGAAGCAGATTTTCCACCCGATCAGCACCAATATCTACGACGGTCAAGTTTAGCATCTCGTCGAGTCCACCTAGAAGAGTGCAACCCGGCCTGCCGACGGGTACACAAGGTGAGGAGAAAACAAGTGCAAGCAAAATCAAAGTACCCCCTCCGTTAGTCGGTCGTCTGGGCGCCAGTGGAGAGTCGGGATCGCCTCAAAAAATGAGCGAACCCTACTCCACCACAATTACCTAAAGCGGCATCGTGTGGTTTATAGAGGATTCATTACTTTGACTCTTCATCATGAGGGACAGCGATACGAGGATTATCCTCCATACCTGTGCGATAGCACAACAGGTCGTTATCGATAGAATATCAATGTATCCTCGCACGTAAACATACTGACAATTCTATGTACAAGTCTTTAAAGTCCTTGCTATCTAGAGTCCGTAGAAAGTCTACATGGAAGACTGGCTGCCACAAGCCAGTTATACATGTGGCAATTTTTCTGACACATCTAGCTTAAAATATAGAAAAAACAAATGATCGTTATGCCACGCTTTCACAGTTTGTATTCATACGAAATATTAAAATCAAGGGAGCTGTAACCTTTCGCTCTACATGAGATTCTGTTCTCATTGAG